CGACAACCGGCCGTACGTACGTGATGCTGCCTATGCTGCATGCATGCTGCATGGATTCCCATGGACCACACCATTTGTGGTAATAAAGGGGTGCACGTTCTTGGGAACAATAATTACCAATATTTCCCCAGTTTAAAAAAAGGAAAAAGACAACTAATACTTTTTATGGAGTTTGAAACATATCTTTATTTGATAATCAGTTGTTCAACGTCACAATATAATTTTTTTTCTTGAAATGTATTCAAGAAACGATGTAAAACTCAAAACAGGGGCGAAACCACCCGTACAAAATTAATGGATTCGTCCATAAAAATCTCGGCATCGTGTTGACTGTTTTCGAAGAAAGTTATCCAAACTTGAAGTTTTGACGTTACTACTTGTTAGTAATCACAACAATTTGATAAGTTTTGCTGTAAAAACGGACTTGTTTACCCTTTAGGACAAAACAACTCAGCGTCTGTTGCCACAAAGCAGGATTTGTAGCGCTCCAGTCAGACAACACATGGTGGGTTGCATACTCTCTCAAGTGCTGGGGGAAAATAATGTCATTCGCCGGCACAGGCTCACTGACGAGCCAGCCGGCAGCAATTCCCGTTTTTTATTTCTCATCATCAATTTCCATATTTGTTTGTAAGAGTAATCGACTGTAAATGATTTGACATAACATTTGTGGCCCTTTTATAGCTTTCGTAGTGCAAATGGAACTGGTTCAGAGCATTTTGACTAGAATTTGGAGGCCTTACAAAATTGAACCGTGCGGCTTATACGCCGATGCGGCTTATACGCCGACTTCAAATCTTAATTTGCAGATTTTTGCGTGCTGCGGCTTATACGCCGCGCGGCTATATTCCGAAAATTACGGTAGTGGAATCAACCACCTCAAATATATTTTTAATTAGGTGAGGCAAGTTTTAATCACTTTTGATGGTCAGTCTTGATAATTTTCGTGGTACAAAGGAAAATAATCCAGGCACAAAACTACATGATTCCTTGTTCAATATGCTCCATTCAATCATGTGTTTTTATTTCTCCATGATTCAATCAGCAGCCCAAAAAATTGGCGAAATAATTTTTTCGACCTTCCGATGCTAGTTTGAAAGGCATGTAATCGGAAGCAAAAGCGATTTTTTTTTCTTCACCTTAATTTCTTAATTTGAAACTTGCTTGTAAATATAATCCATACTTTCTAGTTCAGGAAGTTTTAACACAGGTTTTGAAATGCTGAATTTTTTTTAAAGTTAAAAATGTTTTTTTTTTTTTTCTTTAATTACAAAAAATATCACAAGATCTCCTCTAAATTTTAAGGACAAATCTTCCTTAAAGACTCCCCAGATTTGCTCTAAAATGCACCAGAGGGCCTCTAAAGTTCAAAATTTTTACACGCCGTGGCTTCCCAGGTTGGTGAATCACAACAAAACTTCCCCCACAGTTTTGAAAAAATGCTGGGGAGAACCCTGCAGGACACAAAGTTCTGGGATTGGCAGTGAGCCAGATTCATTCATGTGTATAATCATTGTTATCTGCTCCATGCTCGGGCCATACACATTTTGAAGCAGTTTGGACAAACATGCCCTTTGTCCCATAATAATTGTTAGGAGAAAACAGGTCTCTGGCATAATATATTACAGACACCACTGTTATTGTGAGATAAAAACTTGTGACTTCGGTGTGCATTAATTTACGGGTTTTATGGGAACCGGGTACCCAATTGAAAAAAACCCAATCCCAAAATTCAAATCTCGGAAGTTGCTGTTAAGATTGTTCATAATGATTCGCATGATACTACAACCACAGCCACATCGGTGCGACAGCACAGCAAGATACAAGTGTGTACAGCTAGCGTTATTATTGTTTAGCCTCATAGAGCTATATTAAATTACTAGAGCGCTTACTCAATGTACAAAGAGATGCCTGCTGGGCGCATCCATGTTTGTACACAAACCTATGGAGAACTAGAAATTGTGTACGGCTTTTGTACGGCTATTAGCATATCTGTGTTTGTATTCCATTCCGTTATTGATGCGTTATTGAAGCCGATACACCCAAAACCGGAACGCACGATCAGCAAATGAGCATTTCATTTTGCTTTAAACAAACAGCGCAACGTGTGCGCGTATTCGCTGCAGATGCTTTTTGCCTTGACATTTTTTTTTAACTGTCATGACACGCTTAAGTTGTTTGCTGAAGTTATTTTCTACTTGCGCGTTGCATGTAGAGTACACTTTCAAAATTCAATCCATGTAATTTCATTATGTTCTACAAACACGCGCATGAATTCAAAATGTCTGCGCCCAGAGCGGCTTCAAAGTGTCTACGCGCGCAAGAATGAGGAGTTAGCGCTCCAGTAATTTAATATAGCACTATGTTTAGCCTACAGCTTTACAGTGTAAATTGCAACTTTCACGGACGTGAAATATGTTATGTTTTCCCACGCAGCCTGGTTTCCACTTAAAAAAATTCCCCACAAGTGACAAACAAACCTTTCTTTTTTATTGTCAGAGAAGTTACTAAGTTACGGTTCCTGACATCAGGTACCCGGTACTGTTCCTGGTTGTGATGTCCAGCCCTTAAAAATTGTCAGCAACATTTTTTTTTTGGGGGGGGGGAGGTTATTTTGACAATGTCATTTTGTTGACAAAGAAAAGACTGAAAAAATCAGCGAGAATGTAGTACACTCAGCGCCTACTCAAGTGCTCTGCTTCTCTCGGGAGTAAATAAATGTCATGTCTCACATCACAGCAGTCAACAATTGTTTTGTTACATCTTGCCATCAACTTTAAAGATAAATGTTGTGACTAAATGTTCAAGAAATAAACAAAATCACGGTATTGTACCTTTGATAACTGCCGTAAAGTTATGATGCGTTGCGTTTGTTTCAGTGCTGTGTGAGGTGCACCCTGCATACACATCTTACATAGTCATGCACGTGCAAGTTAACCCTCCTGCACCCGATTTCATCAAACTCTTCGTAACTTACGATGCATCGCAGCGCTGCGACGCGTCGTATGCCTACGATGCGTCGCAGCTGCGATGCAATTTACAAAACACGTTGTAAGTGCGACGCGTCGTACATGTAGGTGTATCTATACACCTACACTCGGTGACTATTTTATGTATTTAGTCAGCATACAGAAAATAGTCGTCTGATATTCAACAAAGAGTCGTCGGATCTCCGCTCAAAGTTTGTTAAACGTAACACAAAATGGCGGCCGTGTGATGCAATTATAAAGGAAAAGAAGCTCTCGGTGGACTGTATAGCTACTTTGAAATTTCAACTGCAATATTCCAGGCTAATTCAAAATATTCAATGAATTTTCTACTTACAACTTTACGCATATTGCCTCAATATTATAATCTTGTTTAAAAGCATAAAACTTGCTTAGAAAAGGACTCTTCCTATTGTGCGACGACCACTAGACACGTCGTAACTTGCGACGTGTATTAAGCCGTTGTCAAGGAACTTACGACACATTCAACTCATCGCATGTTTTGTGAAATGGATTTATGACGCGTCGCGAGTTGCAACGTGCAACACGTTGTAACTCGAGTTGCGACGCTTCACATCGTTTAGTGAAATCGGGTGCTGCTGTTTAAGGTCACAAACAGTCATAGTTTCCTTCCACTTCCCCTGGTATACTTTTAACATACCAATGGTCACTTGACCAATTTTGACTCGCTAACAGCATGGCTCAGAGTGCATGTCTGTATAGGAGATTTAATATGCAATACATTGTATATGATGTTACTCTAATATGCACATGACGTATACGAGGTAATGAATACAATTCTAAATAATGAAAGGTTTGCGGAAACACCATGTGCGAATAATTTCTCAACTAAGAGAATGGTTCTGAAAAGAACCAGAGGTATAAACTCGACGTTCCGGTCAGTATGCTCTGACCGTCTTCAGGAGAATACAATTCTCACGGACAAGACAGTGACCGTTTTTATCTAATGCAATTACAGTGTCCCAGACACGATATGACAAGTTTATATCTAATAGAAAGAAATGTTATCAAATAAATTAGCAACTTGTCTGAGCTTGAAGTCTGGGCAAGGAATAACAGCAACAGTACAAGCTGGACTGTCGGGGTGTATTCATTTTAGAGAATTTTGAAGTTCAATCAATTGCAAAGGATAGGAGGGGAAAAAAGAGCGCACACGCCTTCCACTCGCAGACTACACATCACGTAGCATAGCCAGCACTTAAGCACCACTCTATGAGCCTCACCCACCACCGTCAAGGCAGTGGAAAGTGTGAAATGACAGACTCTGTCACGTTACACAAATACTTCCATCTATAGTGCAGATTTGTAATGACTCCAGTCAATTAACTCGAGTCCAACTCGAGTCACAATTTGGGCGACTCGACCACACACTGGGACTCGACTCGACCTTCCTGACCTAATGACTCGACTCGAGTCACTTCCCTAAAAAAACTCGACTAGGGTCACAAAATTCAGTGACTCGTTACAACTCTGCTATAGTGTCACAATTCAACGCTTATATACCAGCTTTCCCCAGTTCAAGAGTTTCAATAAATCTGGGTGTAAGTCTGCCAAGTCTGTGAACCACTTGCATTATGAATGGCTGTGCACTGATGATACAGTAAAACTAACATTCACGCTGTTGGGTACAGCACACAACACAATGTTCAACCCTAACCCCTTGGGCTCTTTTACTAGAAAACATCCTGAATCCTCAAAAAACCATCAATTTTACCATGCCAAAAATGTTAGTGGCCAGTGAGTCCATCAGAATCCACAAGTTAGGTGGGAGTAAATCTGTTGAGATCCTGCATCCGCTGAAGTCCCCCAACAGCTCAATATAGAGGTATCCTGAATTCATCAAAATCCTGCAGTTCCGCTAGGCTTACAATCCTGAATCCATCAAAATCCCCCAGTTTGTGCAATATGGAGGTATCCTGAATCCGCCGAAATCCCCTGAAACAGGGGTGTGGATTTTGATGGATTCAGGCACGTTAGGGTTAATAACGAGACTTACTTTGAGCTGAGTTGCCTTGCTTCTTGAAGAGGTCCCCACTCCAGATTGTTGACTGTGAAGACTTTTCTTCCATCTTCACCCTGAGAAACGTTTCAAGAAATGCCAACAAGGGTTAAAACAGTTTACCCACTTCTATTGGTTGAGAGCCCGTCACGTGGCCGGTTTTAAATGGTTGATAAAGACCGGCTGGCTGGTCTTAAACACTTTTCCAGTGTCACATGAAATTTGGACTCCTATGAAATCTGGTGACTTTTACCATTTTATTGGTTGAACGTTCACAATCCTCACTTAGGCATGCGCAATACTACCAGTGAGTCAGTATTTCATAGTCCTAAAACTCACAATACACTGGCACAGCTGTGTTCTGCGCCACATCACGCAGTACTCTATATGCACCACATCACGCAGTACTCTATATGCGCCAATCTCTATATAAGGAGTTGTTTACGACTACTCATGTGAGGGACATACCATAATATAGCTAGAGGGTGTGTCAAAAAACAATGAGTAAAAATGTTGAACAAAATTGGTGGAAATTTATAATTTTTGACTTGTTTTGATTTTTGGACCAAAAAGTTTAGATTTTTTTACCGAAAATGTATTTATGACTGGGAATAAATATGTGCTTGGCTGGTATTAAACACTATGCTTAAGACTGGTTGGAGTCTGGATGCTGATAATTACCCTCCCATAGAGACTCCAACCGGTCTTAGACATAGTGTTTAAAACCAGTCAAGCACATACTTATTCCCTTAAATAAACTCTGCCAGTTTAATAAACACTGAACAGATCATGTACAATATGCACAATATTTCAACATATTGTCTAGAGGTTGTCCACAGGACACAAAATTGGAATGGTCATATGAAGCGTTTATTTCCAAAACATGACATGTCCATTTTAAAAAGGCGAAAAACTTTGCAGACTTATAAAGCTTAACAGAATAAAGACAGTATAACAGCTGTTTCCAAACTTCATTTTTTGCTTTATTGTATTCTTTAAGTTGTGTTTTAGTATAAAACAGCTGTCAAAATTGCTTTTGTAAATTGCTTTTATTTTTGTTCTCACCTGTATTGCCATGACATCTATCGGTTCCGTTACCCCTCGGATGACCGCCATAGCTGCATTGCCCATCCACCTTGAAAGACAGAAAACAAGACAATTTCAAGGAGATCCAGATTTGCTACAAACACGAAGCAAAATGTAACTCAATTCTTCGTCCGGTACCCACTGCCCTATTCACGAACGCTGGTGACGTCTTATTTGAATTGAATCGCACTGAAATGAATTGAATTGGTTTATCAAAGGGACACTGGGTCTTGGAACAGCTCAATTGGGCTACGAGATGATGTTAATCGGAAAGAACATTTAAAAGTAGGATATAAACATCCACACAACTATCCTTTAAAAACTGGGCGTTTTTGTGTTATTCCTGTATTATGCGTGTGAAAACAGATTTCGGGGTCTACTTTTGCGACCCCATAAATTCGAGCTGTTTTGATGCTAGTTGTGATTTCATTCGTAAAGTGTTCGCCTTTTGCGGATGTTGAAGAAACCATATTTTTTTGCATTGGTGATTGGTCACCGCTGTTCCCGAGACACACAACGTGTATATCGTACACAGAGAATGACACGAAAAACGTACCGTATTCGTTCTCCGTTGTGTCCGATGTAAACAACCGAGGTTTTTTCGTCTTTTCTCGGGAACGGTAAGACATTAGGTTGGTTTCCCTTCAACCAGATGTTTGAAATAGGCTAAGTAAACAATCCAAAACATGAAATTTTCGGGGATTTCAGGACCTAGTGCCCCCTGGATGGTCCTTAGCGGCCACATACCGAATCGCAGACATATTTACAATAAAAAAACCACAATCTTATGTAAGAGAAAAAAGAGAAAAGTAAAGTCTGTCACGAGCTAATCTGGCCCATCAGGCCGGCATTTATCTCCGGTTTCAGCAGCACGAAACGACTGAGAATATTTCTACTCCCCCTGGATGGGATGCTATAGTCGCAGGTTACTCCCCAGCTAATGCTGGTACCCATTTATACTCCTGGGTGGAGAGTGGCCAGTAAAGGTTAAGGAGGCTCGCCCATGTGACAAACAGCTGGATTCGAACTCCTTACCCTCAGATCAAATGTCTGTAGCCAAGAAATTCGAACCTGGCCTTAGTCTCTTTTCCAGAGTCAATTTTTGTTAGTCTCCAATCAAGACTCACCTGACATCAGATTCGGCATTTGCATACAAGAACCTGGCCAAGCTGTTGGTGGTGCCAAGCGGGATGACCCCTAGGGGCCACCGTACGCTGACAGAGGCCTGATCTTCTCTGCGCAGGAGCCCCGTGACAACCTCCCCTAGAGTGCCGTCGCCCCCGGCAACCACGACAGCATCAGTGGTCTCCAGGTTACCAGCCTTGTCTTTGGCATTTCCTTCACTTTCTGTCTGCACACAACAGAAATAGAAAATAGACATACATATGTTTGAAAGCACTTTATACTTTTTGTTCGGTGTTTTCATAAAATTAAAAAGCCTGAATTACGGTTAGAGTATTGTACTCGTAAACAAAGAAGTTCACTTCTTACTTGAGGAAGTCGAGGAAAAAGTCCGAAAGACAAGTGCACCATTCATGACACAATTTAATCATGTCCACGTTTACTGACGATTTGACCACACAACTCCACTACACTAACGTACATGAAACCAGGGATTATTGTCTTGTTTCTAACAACTGCCAGTGAAATGTATCACTTACAAATGCTCTCTTCGCCATCCTCAAGATCATCATTGTGATTTTTAAAGACTTTGTGGGGGGAAAGATCGTCAGAAAGATCACAGTTTTGAAAATAAATATGAAAAAGTCGAACTTCCGATAAAAATCACAAAAGTTTCAACTCGGTGATAGGTTTAAGTAGTTAACTATGGTCCAGAAGAACTATCGGGGAATGCTCTGAATTCTTTTTTTGCTTCCTGACAAAACATACGGAAAGTTGATTTTTGAATGAAACATTACAGGTAGAGTCCATAAACTCACCTTGACAATTTCAACATCGATCCCCGCAAGGTGAAGAAGTGGGGCTGCGTTCTTCTCAAACAACTTCTTGGCTTTTCTAAAATAAAAAAAACAAAACAAAAACAAAAAAACATTATATTGATTTTATCTTCATTGTTTTGAATGGACTCCGTGCACGAGTACCCCCTTGATGGTTACAAAGGGAGAGTTGGGCAAGACTACTGGGAGGGACATTTGAACAGATTCCCGACTACAGCTGGGCGAGTAACTCGATTACTCGAGTACTTGTGAGTAGTTTATGCTTCTCATTCTACTCGTGGTTTTTCATCTAATCGAGTACTCGTCCTGGCGCGAGTAGAAGCAGGTACTAGCGAGTAGCAAGTTAGGGTTTAGGGTTCACGGCTTCATACGTCCCCTGCCAACAGGGAATCACTCCCTCCACCTATCTCTCTTCCTGGGATTCCATTTGTTCCAAAAGACCCCCCAAAATTCAAGTAAAAAATGATGCAGAATGTCGCACAGGATATCTCAGTGCTGAAGAATGGTGTGACCTGCTAGCAATTTGCTTGCAGGTTACTTCACGTCATACTAACGTATAATGTCATTTTTCTGCTTTAATGGGATTTTGGTTAACTACTCCAGAGTACTCAACTACTTGAGAGTAATTTCTTTGCGAGTATTCGAGTAGAAAAATCCACTTCTCGCCCAGGCCTATTCCCAACGTCGCCTGACGCTCATTCGAAGATGTCACTGTTTTGTGCACATTTTGAATATAATAATCGTGTGTTTTTTGCACCATATGTGAGCAAACCAGTATGAGCATGTGTTGTGTGCCTCCCTGCAGCTCTAGGAAGTGGTAAAAAAAAAGTGCCATCAAATATTTGCGCAACGAATTTACCACACAACCATAGAATGGTAAAACTTGACATCAAATCCAGCGGAATTTTTGCCAAGAAACATCACAAAATTTACTAAAATCCAACACTAGCGACACAACGCCAAACAAAACTCACCCCTTTTTGGCTGCTGGGTTCAAGATGACTGTGACTTTCCTGGGTTTTTCGGTCGCATACTTGACAGACTGTTGCCCGTATATCTACAAAAAAACCCAATTATAACCATGAAATCTACGAAATTGAAATGAGCATTTCACACACCTTTGCACTTTTTTGTATTGATCATTTGTATTATTTTGATGAAATCCCTTTTAATTAATGACATAATTAATATTTTGCAAATCTAAGTAACAACTATATTTTTCATTATTCATGTCTATGACATCACAGTGCTTGTTCCTGTACTTACAACTGCTTTCCTGCAGAACTCTTCCCTCAAAAGATTGGCCCTAGAATGGAAGAGAAACAACAGTATTTAAGTAAAATATCTGATTTTTGTAGAGGTCATTAGACTTTTAAAGGGAAAAGTCTGGTGATATAATCATACAGAATGTATATATTGGCATTTTAACAGGGCTATCGTTACGGCATTTGACCATTTGGTTCCCTGACCTGACAGTATTCAACATCGGGATCATTGATCGCAGTAATTTTCGAACCAAAAATGACTGCGATCATTCTGCGCGCGTGCACGTTTCAAGTGTCAGGTTGGCTCAGTTCGGAAAGGGCATATTTTTCATCATTTTTGCCGAAAAACCGACAGAATCCACCAATGTTTGTTTGGTGCACATAACGTGAGTATGTCATGAGGTATTGTACGGAGTTTAGGGGCAAACTGTGCAGCGGTTCTGTGAGAAATAGCTTGGTTGTGATGGACGTTTTTGTACTTAGGTGGTGTTTTGTAGAGGCAAACAGTTTTGCGGGGTAAGCTGCCTATGAGGCTCCACTTAATGGAGCCTCATAGTTCTAGGAGTACCACATAGTACCAGTACCAGCGCACTAGTTGCGAGACTGTGTGATTGGGTCCCTCCATCCCGCCCCCTCCCCCCCCCCCCCCCCCCCCGTGAAAGTAAACTGCTGACTAACGCCGCTCAATGTATTGTCAATGATCGGAACATGTGCACAAGTTGTCGTTGGCTACAGGCTAGAAATCATTATTTTTTTATGGGAAAAGAAGGAGATTCTTTAAAAAAACGAGGCAGATCTAACCTATATCTGTCATGAACAAAATAGACTCCCCATCCGGCCAAGATTGCAGCCGCCGTGGACTTTTTCCAGTGGTTTCTGATCGTCTTTGCAACTTTAACTATGCGCGCGGCCATGTTGCTTTTCCACCACGTGTTAACTGTTGAGGGCGCTGTTACAAACACATGAGGGCGCGCGATAGAAGGGCTGGTGAAAAAAAAATTACAAAAAAATCAGCCGACGCGACATGTACGTACTCTGAAGAGATGGAGACAAATGTTGAAAATTTTTCACAAGACCTGTGGTATATTTTTTACATCCAAAGGAAGTTAGATTTATCAAGCTTATCAAAATGCTTGAAATAAACTTTGACCAATAAGAAACTGTGTTCATGGGGACGCGCTTTGCATTATGGGTGGAGGTTGAATAATGCCCGGGGCTAACGTCAAGGGATTTCTTTTTGGGATAGCGAAATTTGAGTGATATCACTGATAATTGCTGATTGGCTCGATGAGAGTGTCCCCGACCTGCTGGCACTGATCTGAAAATAAATGTCGGCAAGTATTGAAGAATTGCTTCCGATAACATGATGTAGGTGAGAGTTCAAGATTAGGATTTATCAACATGATGTACACACTGTGAGTAAAGTTTGCCTAATGTTTATATTGCATCCATGCAATGTATGAACTTTGATCACCTTTCAATGATAATAATTATTTTAGCAGAATCATGGAGAGTAATCAGAATCAGCAGTCGATGCTTCCCAGCATAGATTGGGACTGCCAAATCAAATTAAGCCAAAAGTTCGCGGTTCTAGCCCTCCTTCAGCCACCCCTGAGTCCTACATAGTGAGAAATCCTTAATTTACTCCGGGGTCTCATTTCAACTGAAAACGGCAGGCTGTTCACGTTAATTCATGGATATAAATAAGTGTTAGGCCTAATTGGAGCGGGGAATTAAGGGGACATCCCCATTTATCTGTAACAAAATCGCAAGAAGAGTGTGATAAATTATTATGTGGTTTTTGTAACCCAAAAATTACCGCCCCTTAAGAAACTGCAGGGCTCAACTTCAGGTTTTAAATCACCCCAAAAAACACATTATAGAATGGTTTAGATAATGTTCCTATCTCCAGGAAAGTGAACGCCGGCGATTCTTCATTTTGCAACGCAGTGCAAAAGGAATAATGTGTTTGTGCAAATAGGCCTATCAAGATATTTTTATATATTTTTTTGTCAAATTCGTTTACCTATTTTTATGTTTTAGAAAGTAGCGAATATATATCTGGGCACGTTTTTAAGGTCTTTTTTCAATTGCTAAACGAAAGAAGTAGATTTAAAGCAGTTTCATCGAGTTCTACCAATTGCGATGATGTTAAGATTTTTTTTTTATTGTAAATAAGGTGGAGGTTCGTAGCTGCCACATAGCAGGACAGTAGTGCCCCGTAACCTCCAATCACCCGAATGCAACAGTAAAGTTTACTGTGCCAAGAATAATATCCCCGTGTAATCCTTTGCGGTTTAGAACTCCCGAATCATAAAGGCAAATAGAGGTTACGTAATCGACTGATAATTCAAACAAAAATATTGCAAAAAGGCCGATAAATAGATAGCAGAAGGTCATTTTTAGAAATGGTGAAATTCTGGCTATTCGTGTACAGAGTAAGATGAACTCTTGGAATCCGGTGACACTAATAGGGAAAGGTCATTCGAAGAACTCTAAGTGAAGGTAAACCGCATGATAAACAAGTAAACTTTAACACCATTTTAATTTAAATTCTAATAGCATAATGTTATTCATATACCGTCAAGAGTATGGGTATGGTCAATTGACTGTAATTGTTTCGAGTTTTCGTATTTTAAACATAATCTATTCATATTTATTTGAATAAGTTTAAGAAAATTAGCAATTAACCAATATTCCTCAACTAGGATTTTGCCCGCAATAATTTATTGCAAAAAGGCCTATACTGACATTATTTAGTTCTAAACCCAAACATGCCTCATTTACTGACCCTGTAAGATCATTACAAATGTATTATAAGTTTTGCCAAGAGTCGCGTGTTAATTTCAGTACTGTTTTGAAATACACTGTCTCTTTCTTAAGGGTGATAAAAAATAAGGGATTTTGGTAGTTGACAGGAGCCAGTCTGTACGTAAGTCGCGCGAGTGTGTCGGCTCATTTTATTTTACAACCTCACCGCATCATCTCACAGGGCGAGAGCAAAGTCCACAATATCCTTATCACCGCATCAAAGATTATCTCGGTAACAACTTCAATATATACCGCACCCTATGAATAGAATTCTCCATTATAACGACTGTCAGCGATCGCTTTGGTGGTTTAATGAGAACAATAACACCTCTTGAATTAGTTTTGACACGCTGGGAATTTATGGCACGGTAGGGAAATTACTGGAACAACTCGGCGGCAGTAAAACGAAGATAAGAAACACAACAGAAATCCTCGGAAAAGGTGAGATGATTGTCTAGACTGAGATGATGATATACAAAATATTGTGACCGCAAACTTGATACTTGAAACAAATGTCTTTGTCTTAGTTTGTGTTGTCTTTTGTTAAAGAACATGTGCACATTAATGTCCCCATGTAAATTAAAGGAAACATTTTGTTTCATCTTAAAGTGAAAAAAGTATTAAGTTCAATGATATTAAGAAACTGAAACGTAAGGATAAACTGGTTACTTACGCGGCAAACGTAAATGAAATGTGGTGTTGAACTTAACATTATGGTGTCATGTATATACAGTTAAAACAACTTTTTTTGTTCAAATGCAAGGTCTGGTACGATGAAATATTCCTAAAGTTTCTTCCCTCGTACAACTTATTGTGTATCCCCTTGCCATAATCCGGATTTTCTAAATCTGAAGATTTATTTAAATTCAAGTGAAATTTCGGCAGATCCCTTTGTTCCTTTGTTCTGTTTTGTGTTGTTTTGTATAGCCGCCATATTGAGTGGTCTTTCGCTTGTCGTTGGCGACTGTGAAAAAATAGGGAAAAAGGTAATTGATTTGCCTTTCAAACTGTGTTCAAAGTTAACTGCTAAAACTGTGTTCAAATTCTTCCGCGTACAGTTGACTTTACCGAGGCAGTCACAATGAGCGCCCCGAACAGCCCCGCCATGTCCCCGTCGCATCACCTGGCGGTCGGCAGGCTCCGGTCCGACAGTAGACGGTCGCGGGCTCCCAGTGTACTGGACAGAATGGCAGAAAAGGTACCAGACATCTTCTTTCATTCTGCTTCATAATCATCACAACTTGCGATAAATCTGTTCCTTTCGCATGAGGAATGGCAGTTGGCCTACTATACGTTGTAAATGTTAGTGGGTAAAAAGCGTCGTATAGGCCAACCATAATTAACCAACAGGACAATTGGTATTAAATTATCTCAATTTTAGTTATATCCATTAAATGTTTCAATATGGTGGAAGAATTGCCAAAAGTGATGAGGCAATTTATATTTTCATAAATACACATGAGAAACAATTTCCTATTTTTATTTAAATGTGTAAAGGACAAATTGTAGCACTAAAAACAATGAAAAAGCATTAAAAAAGTGAGTTACACTGTCGCCTTAGTGACTAATCAAGTACAAATAATTACAATGTATCTTTTAAAACTGTTTTCGCAATCCATCGAGAAGTGAGTTACACTAATTTACAGTGAGCAACAACCATAAAACATTTCAGCAGTATACTGTTGAGAATGAGGCTAGCGGATTATGCATTTCAACTCGCATTATTATGTGAATTCATGTGAATTTTTGCAGATAGGTGCCGATATGACATTGGCTGCCGAGTACTACGAGCCCACACAAGGGACCCCGGTACCAGACCAGGAACCGCTGCCAGAGATCGATCAGGTGTCAGGCAAGAAACTCTCAAGAAAGTAAGAAATGTTTCCTTAATGAAGATCTTCTTTCAACAATTACAAGTATTTTTTTTGAACAGTGTTTATTCAAAACGGCCATTAAAGAACATTTCAGGTTCCCCGTCAATCTGAGCCGGATTCGCATACGATTATGTAATTAAATAGAAGAAGCAGACAAATATTTCATATCTTTTTTGGTCTCTTTCTTACTTTATTCCAGGCAAAGAAAAAAACTACAAAAGTAAGTACCTTTTAATATGTAATATTAACTCGCACATCTCCATCATAGTATATTTTAACAAAAGATGCCCAAAATCACAATTCCTTGTTGATAAATCGGATCCACACTTTTTTTCATACATACAGGGTGAGTAAAAAAAACCGAAACCTAAATATCGGAACTATTGTTTACGTGAAGTTCTGCGTGTAGCACTTTCAAAATCTAGGATATGAAAGCCCAATTCATAAGCTTTCTTTTAGTACAAGAATCATTCAAATCACTTATGTACTTTTTAAGTTACGGAATGAGTGATTTGAATGATTCCTGTACTAAAAGAAAGCTTATGAATTGGGCTTTCATATTCTAGACTTTGAAAGTGCTACATACAGAACTTCACTAAAACAATGGTCCCCACATTGTGTTTCGTGTTTTTACTCAACCTGTTGTGTTGTGTGCCAAGAATATTCCGAACGATGAGGCAAATTTTGAGGATGGTTTTCTTTCGATTCAGGGAAGAGACCATGAAGGAGACAGGAGAGACGTCCAAGGAATATGACTCAAGATGGACTTCCATCTACATTGTCTTCCTCTGCGTCTTCCTATCAGGAACCGGTCAGTATATTATAAACAGTTTTGGTGAAGTTATATTCTTTAAACCTTTCACACAAAAAAGACTGAGCTTTTTAATCCATTTTGTTCTCCATTAACTGCCCTGTAATCGATTGTTACATCGGATAAACCAAAATTGTGTCATGACTTCAACATAAGTCTGTTCAAGTTAGGCCACAGGAGCTATACTTAAATGCCCCATGCAATGTAATTTGTTTAATGCAATCCTTGAAGATGCACCTTTGTTTCCCATTTAACCATATTTTCAATTTTGTGTTGCCATTTCCAAGGGTAATTTGGTGCCTTTTTGGTTTTCAAACTGATGACAATTTCCATATTCATGTCATTCCGGGCAGAAACCTCAATATGATAGCTACTTCAACACCAAAAGTTGCCAGAATTTTGGATATTTTTCTGTCGTAAATGTTCTTTTCTTTTGGTGATTTTTTTTTGTGTCAGTAGGGCCTACATGGCAGTAAGCCAATAACATTAACCAAAAAGTGATGTAAAATATTGTTCATACATTTGAGAACAGTAGAAAGAAAAATTCACTTCATGACCCTTTAATTTTGTGCAAAAGTGTAGACCTATATAAGCCATGTTAGAACTGACATCATTTCAAAAGAATTATACACACTATTCATTTCATTTCACATTAAAAAAAATGATAGTGCCAATTCACTGTGTTTTTTGAAATGGTCGCTGTAATGTTAACAATATTATTATGGCATTATCCCCAACAGGTTTCTCTTTGATTCTCCCGTCCGTGTGGCCGTATTTACAGCAGGTAAGCCCTAAATTAAATGATTACATGCATGCTGACATTAAATATGTAAAATATACAAACCTAAATGGACATGAATTACAATCATCACAATGTGAAATCACAAGGCAAACTTTGTTACAAAATTGACACAAACGACAATGATAATTATGAAGATACATGTCCACTATATAGCTGTTTACAGCAAAGACTTTTTTCGCAATTTGAATGTTGTTATTTTGTAATTTCAGGTGGACTCGACCAGCACCACGAATTTCCTGGGGTTCACGGTGGCGTCCTTCGGCCTGGCCCAGTGCTTCGGCTCGCTGCTCTTCGGCTGGTGGGCGGACTACTTCAAGTCGGTCAAGCGGGCCCTCATCTACTCGGCGGGGCTGACCCTCATCGGCAACCTGGTCTACTTCGCCGCCGACTTCGTGCCCAACAACGCCCGCTGGGTGGTGATGGCCGGCCGCTTCTTCATTGGTCTCGGTGCCGGTAAGTTCGAAATCGTTAAAAAATCTCGATGATTCGTCATCCACCAGAACTTGCTGCCTCCCCAGTAGATCAGAAAATTCTAGCCAATGACATCGCACGTGTCCATCAAAAGGAAGCCTCTCAACACGAACCTATTACGAAAAGCAAGAATGCATTTTTATAATAAATAATACATATTTTTTTTTTATACGTGCTTGCAAACGCACCCCTTGGCAAAATCGCTCCTGGCCAAGCTGACCTACATACCAACCATCGAAGGGTTATCGAGTCAAAATGATTAAATGCCAAGTCGGATCACATGACAGGAATGATAAACGAAGTACATTTGTCGCAGCTCGCTTGAATAGCTTGACACTAAATTCGGCACTAGATGACATGTCATCGATTTGTGATTGACTTGTGACGCCTTGTGATATCTTGTGATGTATAATGATTGATTCGTGATGCCTTGTGATTTTTGTGACGACTTGTGATTGACTCGTGATAACCTGTGATGACTTGTGATTGATTTGTGATGTCTTGTGATGTTTTGTGACGTCTTGTGATTGACTTAGGATGACCCAAGAGGCCTTGTGGTGCCTTGTGGTGTCTTGTGATGTCTCGATTACAACCTTGATAAAACTCGACCCAACTCGTTCCATTAGGCCTACGCAGAGGCTTTTCCAAAAAAGTCATCAGCTTAAATCGTAGCTGTATATCGTATAGGCTAACTTTCTTGACACGTGTGTTTTCATCTTTGGAGGAGATTCAATGTTCATTTTTTTGGAGCGTGACAGTTTGTCTCTGTCTGTCTCTGTTGATGTTGCTGAAAACCTTTTTCTCCCCCTTGTAGGTGATGTTGCACTTGGACGTACCTACGTAGCCTCAGCTACCACCGTCCGTGAACGCACAGACGCCGTGGCGCTGATGAGCGCCTGCATCTCAATCGGCTACATCACCGGACCACGTAAGTTTTTGTTTTTGGTCTCGAGAGTCTTGGGGTAACTTTCTTTGTCACTACAGTCATAACTGCATTCACAGTTGGAGGTTTTGAAACCTGGTCTTCATCTCGGGCTTCGGTATTTATATGTCGTTTCAGAATCATTAAGAAGCTTATAGTTTCCAAACCTAACTCATATTTGATGTTCCCGAAGTAGTACATGGACCCATACTAAACAGGAGTCCCAATTCAGGGGACCTTACATCTACGGTGGCCGAAGCCGGAAGATCCACAATATTCCTATATCATGACTATCTGTTTGCACACATCTTTCGGGTCCTGCGTAATCGTCAATAATGGTGATGACAATAATGGACACATTATAATGTTGTAGGGCAATACACCAACATTTACGACAGGAGCAACCGACAGAAATACTTCACAACAGTCAATGGTGTTGACACTCTTACTATTTTCTTTCACTTATCCTCTGTAGTGTTACAAACTGCCTTTGCAACCATCGGCTACCCTGGCTGGGCGTTTCTCAACATGTACTCAGTGCCCGTCTTGTTCAGTGCCGTGATTGGGGTCGGAAACATCGCTCTGCTGGCCGTCAAATTCAAGGTAAATCCAGATTCCCCCTTTGTAGACACTTTTCGCTCACCTCACTTGATTATTTTAATTGTATTTTTGGTCTTTTTTTTCATTTTGGTCTCTGAGATTTAATATCGAAACCTCAGTTGTCAATAAAGGCATCACCCCTGTCATTTTAAAATAGTTCATCATTAAACTGTCACCGTTGTCATTGCAATTATCTTCGTCGTCGTCACGTTGATTGTCAGTTCGTAATTCTCTCTCACTTCTCTCCCCTCTCAGGATGCTCCGGTGGCTGACAGACTGAACGCCAAGGCAGAGGAGGCCAGGAGGAAGTCCAAAGCAGGAGACAACCTGGTCAGCAAGGAGGATGCGGACAAGATACAGATGGCTGTCAACGGGCTGACCGCAGACAGTAATCACAACAGTGGAGACGGTAGGTTATTATTACTAATCATTTCTGGCGATGAAATCACTCACTCATCTGCATAGACAGCATTAGGTCCGTCGCGCCGATCTCCTGTGCCGGCGTCCTATTCAGCCTCATTTCACCTGCAGTCAATCTAGCTAGGCCGTCCGAGTTGTTCCGACCACGTTGATCTTGGACGGTCATGATCAAGGATTCCTAAAAGGAGGGCATGTACTCTAAAAGGTCCCTGGTGAGATCGAACAAGGTTTCCGGGTAATATTAACCCAGAAATGAGTCAGAGAAGTGTTTGGACCCGGAATTGTGTCAATTTTGACCTGAAAAGTGTCCATCCAAACAGACCCCGGAATCCCGGTCAAGGTATATTTTTTTTAGAGTGTGTAGCTCACAATCCTGAAGACATCTGTAAGGAAGACAATGAAGAACTGTTCAGTTTAGTGGTGGAAGGAATACCCTAGAGGAATATTCGAATGCGAAGTGTTTTTTTTTCAAATGTATTCAAATCTAAAGCTTCTGTCTCTATACAGGTGAGAAACGAGGGAGCACCGCTAGCGAGTGGAGCCAGTCATCCGAGGAAGACGGAGCCAAGCTGGACGTCGTGGCCGTCATTGTTATCAACATCCTCTTCTGCGTTACGTCATTCATCTTCTCTGCACTCGACACGTGAGTCCAAGTCCAACACTTTTAAACATTCACTGTTGAGCCAGTGATCGTGTAAATATCGGTTAACACTCAGTTCTATTCCATTGGTTCCATCGTCCCGAAACTGATGACTAACCATCAGTTCATGGAAGTGGTCATAAATGGAAGTGATCATAAATATCTTATAGACCTCTGAGATCGGTTAGACATTTTGTTCTCAGACTTGACTGTTTGCTGAAGGCTGGCGCCATTTGACACGGATCTCAGTGCCTACAAGTTGCAACAACAAAAGTGTTAAGTTTGAAAGTTTCAGCAAAATTTTGGCAAAGCTTATGCATATTTAACTCCTATCGCAGCATCACACAGTGCATTGATCATACCAGAGCATTGCTTCAGGTTTGGGTAATTCAACAATCTCAGAGCATCACAATTCAATCACAAAACAGTCACAAGACAAGGTCGTAAGTAACAAGGGATGACCATGAAACCGGAACGTCTCCGTCACAGATCATCTGAAAAGCTTGCAACTTGACTTGGATTGGAAGACTTGTGATTGCATGACTGTATAAAAGTAATTCGCATATGATGTCTTAGAAGGAGATTATTTTTGTGTTTTTGATAACGCGTACCTTTTATTAGTGTTGGCACCGCCCTCGTGATGGACGAGTACGGTTTAATCCAAGACAAGGCCATCCTGTATCAGGGACTCCTGCTAGCATCGGTGGCCTTCCAGTTCATCATAGTCGTGCTGCTTCTCAAACCCCTGAAAAAGTAAGTTAGATTGCCAAAAATGAAGATTTTACTTATCCTTGAAGATAAGATGTAGATGAAATGAATAAGAATTATTTTCGTAAGTAAGTGAGGAGGCTCAATGTTTTAATCGCTATACTAAACGTGTATGACGTCACGCCAAACCCACAAAAGGTCCAGATAGCCACTGCATCTTTTATGATAAAAACTCCTTTACAAACATTTACATCTGGATGTGAACATCGTGTATGCATAATGTCTGTGTAATGGTAGGCCCTGGAGAAAAGTAGGACAAAGAAGATTTTCTTTATCACAAATGGTTTTAGCGTTCACCGTTACCGGCTCCAAAACGTTATCGGTACAATATAGTGCAACCGAAGTTCAATTCTGAAAACAAGTAAATCAGAGTTCGAAAAAATCTATGAGCACTCAGTAATCATAAGGTATAATGTGTACACGTTTATCATTTCATCCTTACTTTGCTACGAAGAACCGCATTGAAATCATCTTTGTCAACAAATACAACTTTATTATCCCCTCTGAATGCGGTCACAAATACTAAATGCGGTTATTGCATGATTCTTTTGTCCTCTTAACGACAAATGCCAATGCTTATTGTTCCGAGTATCATTTAAGTAACGATCGCCTGATTTGATCGTACACAGAATCATGAGCGAGCGAGCCATCTTCCTGCTGGGCTTCGTGATAGCCGCCATCGGTATCTTCGTCATGCTGCCGTGGGGAAACACGTTCCTCTCGGACATATCGGCTCAGGAAAATCAAGGTACGGTTCGCGACAACCGATCAATCATTTCAATCGGTTGGGCGATCGATGAAAATTAGTTAATATTTAAGTTTGATGATGTGACTGAGTTGCCAGTGAATTCCAAAGAAAGTCAGGATGCGATGGGCCTCACTCACGAGGTTATTTTAGATCGTGGTCCCCAAATTCATCACTGGTTTCCAAAACACGAGATACGGTTTGCTATGAAAATTTACCCATCTTTTGAACCATCTTAATATCTGCTCTTCCGAGATTAAACACACTCTTCGCTCAGTTTGCCTCACTCTGACAAAAAAGATTGATAGCTCACGAATAAGGCATGTTGCCTCAGTGTTGAAGATGTTCATTTTGGTTACCTCTTCACCAAGTTGTAAAGCATCATCTTCAATATAGATTACTGCATTTTTTCCATAATCAACATATAAGTAAAGGACTTAAGTTCAACGATGTTATGTCATATTTTCCAGCTTTATTCGACGAGTATCTGGGTGGGGTCAACCCCTGGCCTGAGATTTGCGGCGATGCCGAACCCGCAGGGGCGCTGTCAATGTCCGCTCACCAGCCGTTCTCGATCCAGGGGGCGGGAGGCGAGCAAGCCGTGGGCATCCTCAGCGGTCCCGTGGACGCGGGTACCAGCAACCTGACCTACGGCGTGTGCTGGGAGCTGTACGAGTGGTGCTGCCGGTCGCCAAGGATTTACATCTCGCAGTATCTGATTGGCTTCCTGCTGTCGATGGGCGTGTCTTACGGATTCTGCTTCATCATGGCGTCCACGATCTACTCCAAAGTGCTCGGGTTGAAGAACCAGGTAAGAGGCCCGTTGTATACTTCTTAACCCGAGCGAATGTCAGCTCCTTGTTTTATGCTAATTTTTTTTAAAAGGCTTTCGTGATAATCAGACTGATGGAAATGATGAAGAAAATTGCGTGCTTGACAAAAAAATTATCAATTATCTTCACTTAGGCATGCGCAATACTAGCAGCGAGTCCGTATTTCATAGAAATCTAAATTCACACTACACCGGATCCTTTAACACGAGGTCAAAAGTTTGGCACTACATTTTTGTCTGGACAAGAAAGTCTTTCATATAGTTTACTCTCAAGATATAGGATAAAGTCGAAGTCGGAGATCAAGGCGAGGAAGTTTGGGAAATGGCCCCAGTCACAATTTCCCCCACTTTTGACTTTGCATTTTCAGGGCAAGATGATGGGGTACCTGACCGCGGCCGGCTCCCTGTCCCGCATCATCGGACCCATCTACATAGGGCAGATGTACGGGGCCTTCGGGCCTCGGCTGTCCTTCGCCATCATCCTGGCCATGCTGATCGCCGCCGTGTTCCTGTGCACATGGTTCTACTCTCGCCTCGTCCCCTTCGGCATGAGGGAGCTCTACCAGGTTCACTACTCGGACATGGAGGCGTATATGGCCCGGAAAAACAACCAGGGGGAAGAGCAGGTTGGGGAGGGGAAAGGGGCTGGGGAGAAGGAGGGGAAGGCAACGGCAAACGGGGAGGGAAAGGCAACGGCAAACGGGGAGGGAAATACTGGTGGCACTTATATCTCAATCGAGGACACAAATTTGTGAACAAAGAATATAGTGCGTGATAGACGAATTTCAAATTGCCGCTGAAACCAAGGGCCTCGGTGCTGTCTTTTGTTGAGAGGATTAAAAAGAAAAGGTCCTCAATTCATACAATGGCTTAGCACTGAGAGCCTCGGTTGCAATACTAATTTAAAATTCGTCGATTGGTTGTAATTTATGAACGCATGAGGGCGCTGTATTGTCGCCATTTCTGGGGCAATAACAGCAGAGTTTTAAACGTACATCGAAGCAACTGAGTAATTTTTACCCTCAATCGGAGAATGAAAGATTGTGTAAAGGGTGATTTTTTAATTATATGCAACATGTTAAATGTACGTTAATAACCTCCCATTTAAATCTGTGTACACCCAGAAAATGGTGTCGTTATAAAGCGCCCTCATTTCTTCCCTGGAATTTTATATCACTGCGCAATCATGAAAGATAACAATACTCAGTTTCCCGGAGATTAGATCCTCTTTTTAAAAAATTAGCAGTCAAACGTGCACCTGTCGTCGATTAGGCATTTTTTAAAATTTTTTTTTAATTTTTTTTAGTCAATTCCTATAGTTTGAGTGCATTGGAAATTGTATTTATTTGTTTGTTGTATCAATGGTATAGTGGACAACCCGTAAGACCATCAACTCAAATTCTTTAATATCAAATCGATGAATAACAATTTAAAAACACCCACAATCTTATTTCTGTATTTTTGTATATTTTAAGTTTTCCCATTAATTATAATGTGGGAGGCAGAGGCCGGGGGGGGGGGGGTTGAGGGGGGGGGGGGGGGATAAAGAACACAACAGAATAATATCACACCTCTGTATACTTCAATTTACTGATTTTGTTATATTCTGTCTTTATTTCTCAATACGAATAATCTTGTACATAAAGTAAATTATAGATTTGGTAAGGATCTCGGAAATTTACTTTATTATATAAAATACACAAACTATTTCTTCTTAATCTATACCGCACATAATGAATACACCTTTTTGTTCATATTAGTACTTCGTAAGTTTTTGGCACTGGCTCATTGTATTTAGAGTTGTAGACAATAGCAGTAAAGCTAAATAATCGAGTAATAAACCGATTTTAATGTAAAAACAAACAACTTAATGTGCTGTTTTAACTGTTAACATATTTCAGAATATAAAGCAACCTTAATTATAAAGCACAAAAAGGATTTATTATAACTCAAAAGTACTTGGAATAGAAGTATGACCCTCAACCTTAATATGAGAGAGCCGATTACAACATAATACACAATAACCCTTTAGCATTCTGCTCACAAGGGTTCGCAATTTGAACCATTTACCGACGCAATTTTACATCCAACATACAATGCTTGCCATATCACGACTTAATTACACCTTTAAATTTATCTATTTACAATAAGTGTTGAGTGAGCTTTTTATTCAGTATTTGTGACACTGGGGTAATTTCTATAGCGTTTTACAGCATCAATAAGAAGAACTGACACAATCTGATTGACTTGATCAATAATTATTTACAAGTACAAATCGAGTTGGCCTAAAACTGCCATTCTTCCATCCAGTATGTTTCTCTCTTTTTTGTATTGGAAAAAGCTAAGTAACCTAATTAGCAATTACAATTCGTGATGTTTTGTCTTTCAAAATAGTTTACAGCATGAGTTAATATATCACGAAGAGAACTTTGGTCAATCTAATCTGAATCGTTAACCGTCGATGAGGTTAAAAAAATCCGTGGTATTAAACGGTGGTTAATCGGTAATATGCGTTTTACAGATGACTACCTTTTGTTTTTAATATACTACTTTGAATGTACTACGTACTACTCGTATAAGATTCCCCAAAACTGTAAAAAATGGTTATCCAAAAAGTACTTTTGAAAACAAATTTCTTTCCTTGCAAACGTAAATGAACCCCTTTAAAATTGTACACCTTGCGAACTTGAATATTTACAAGATTGTCAATTAAAAACGACAAGCAGTGTTACTAAGACAGGTTAGGTATCAGCATATCTTTTGACTAGTCTCCTACTCATCCTTCTCGCTGTCTTGGCCCTGTCTGTCGACATCAGCATCCATGCATTCATCTGCTTGGAATACCTCGTCTTGTATCTGGACCTCTCGCTCGCAGATTCCTGCGTCTTCGTCATTAGACTCGTCGCATGGTGGTGCCCTGACGGTCAGCAACCCGTCTGAATTCAAGATGGCAGTCATTCGGCATCCGTCGACCTTCTTCGGCAGGTTGCGATGTTCCACGAAGTACCTCCTGCAGCTTTCCGGACGCTGGTCAGAAAGACCTTGACTTCCTTTTCCCTTTGCTCCCACGGTGAGATGCCTGCCAGCCAATCTGACGATGATGTTCTTCTTCTTGTACTGCCCGAGGTCGAAAGTCGCTTTGTAGTCGGCGCCCGCTGCCTCATCCTCGCTGCTGCTGCTGCTGTCGCTGTCTTCAAACCAGTGATGGCCGAATGGTAGCTGGGATGCCAGACCGAATCCGTGACGCGGGGGACCACAACTCGGTCCGAAAAAGTGACCACCGAAGCCTCCGCGACCGAATCCACCGCGACCGCCCCCACCGCGACCTCCCCCACCGCGCGGACCCCACATGCCACGACCGAATCCACGAGATCCTCCCCACCCACAAGGGCGGATCCAGGGGGGGGCCAAAGGGGGCCATGGCCCCCCCCAAAACGAAACCAATTTTTTTTTTTTTAATGTGACATCGCAATAAAGGCAGGCAATGAGTACACCACCATCTTTTCCTAAAAAAAAATTGGTTAAAGTGGTCAGAAATTGCCTCAGATCGCACCACAGAGCATCTAGAATCCAAAAAATTTTCGGGGCCCTCACGGGCCCCGAACCCCACGCCGTAATTTTTTAGACCCACTTTTTTTGGGGGGACCAAATTTTTTTTTTGGCCCCCCCCAAAATTGTGTTCTGGATCCGCCCTTGCCCACCCATGTCTGCCACCGGGCCGTGGAAAGAACCTCTCTGGATGATCATCTCTGGATGGGTCTGTTCCGTCCTCCTCGTCCGAGGAATCCTCCCACCAGCTTCCCCGTGGGTCAGGCCAGCATCTCCGGCCGTGGCGCCCCCCTCCAAATCGGTGGTGAGGAGGAGGAGCATGGAAGAATCCCTCGTGGCCCGGAGGATGGTGATGATGCGAGAAGCGGGGATCACAATGAGGCCACGGGTGGGATTCCATGAAGCCAGGCGGGCCGTGGAAGCCTAGATGTGGTGGAGGAGGGGGAGAGTGGTGGTGATGACGACGATGATGATGGTGGTCGTGGTGAGGCTTGCGTCCACGAGCACATCCTTTATGTTTCTCATTTGGTGCCATGGTGAGCTGAAACTTCAAGACAAACGTTCGTCTCTCTGGCCGTACTCGTGGCTTGATTTGTAGAAGTCTACGGCGTAGCACTCAGCGTCCAGACCTTATAGATTCTACTGAAACTAACGATCGATAAATTCTCTCCGTAGAAATGACATGCACAGCTCAAATCGCTTAATTTAAAAAAATGTGTTGGGCCTTTTATATCATCGTGCCCCACAACGACTGCCATACGTTCTGAACGTTGATATTACGTTTCGGAGTCCTATTTATAGGCATGAGCACTTGAAAAAAAGATTAGTCAGTATTGTTGCATCATAATCAGAACGCAGTAAGTTAACAGCCCGAAACGTTTCAACATCGATCCGTCGCATTGTTCGGGTGCATGTCAAGGTCACATAGTCCATAGTGCAGTAAGTAAACACCCCAAAACGTTTCAACATCGTTCCAACGCATTGTTCGGCCGGGTGCATGTCAAAGTTACACAGTACATAGTGCAATAAGTAAACGCCCCAAAACGTTTCAGCATCGTTCCATCGCACTGTTCGGGTGCATGTAAAGGTCACATTGTACACAGCGCAGTAAGTAAGCACCCCGACGTTTTAACATCGTTCCGTAATATTGTTCGTCTGCGTGTCAGGGTCACGGCATAGTCCATTGCATAGTCATGACTCAAATTTGAAAAGGGTTTCGACATCCACAGATTGATATGTAAAATTATGTCCGGTAATTTTTTTTCAGACTTAGGAGGAAGATCTTCTGGACGGTTTTTATTTCACAGAAGAAAAATAAAAACCTTTGTTCTCCAGAGGTGAATCATGGATATCGTACAACCTTCAAAAATGCAAATTGCGTATAACGCGTCGGTTTGCAACATAGACGTGGGGGATATTTGCACACTCTTAATAAATATATCTTTTTATTTGTAGTCTTGTGATGATTATATTTAATTCCATGTTTATCCAGTCGTTGGTCTAGAAATGATGTAATTCTATGTTTGTTCATATTCCTTGTCTTACCCCTCCCCTCTCATCCTCTCCCCTTCCCACCCTCTCCATTTCATGTTTTTTTTAAATTTATTTATTTTTTTAATATATACTATTTTAGTCTTTCGCTGCTCTTGTAAAGCAAAGTTTTGTTTTTAATGATTAAACATTGTAAATGTTCTTTACAATTCCGCTGCTGGCGGCGAAAAAAGACATAATAATAAACCAATTAATAATAATAATATAACTTCTCAATTACGAATAAATCCCTTCTCAATGAGTTATTTACTTTAAAGAGAATTAAGACAACGAAAGCTTCTCATCCCCCACCTTTTCACCAAAACGTCTATTAAATTAATGTATTTCTGAAGTAACTCCCCATTTTGTCATGTGCCTTGCATCAGCCTCAGTGTAACATGCACGCTGATTATATGACGTATAATCAATCACCTGAAAATGCTCATGAAAAGGCTTTCGTTTTCAGTTACCTAAAATACAGTACATGTACGAAGATTCAAAACGGCATTTCAAGAACGTATAAACAAACAAAAAGGGGGTCACAGTCCTTCCGCTGAACGTGGAAGCAACGTTGCATGACTCATAATGTATATAGCGCGGAATCCATGCTACGTCATATACTATTTTTAAACTCGCTTCAATTTATGTACACATCCATACAATCATTGCAGATCTTTCCTTCGCTTGCGCTTGCGTGAAGGTCAAGGGGAATTGGATTTGCTTTTCATGTAAATGTATACGAGGGCTGCATGCACATACAAACTGGGTTAATAATAAATGCATGGAAATGTCGCTTGAACTTGATACAAAATGATAGGCTTTGTATATGGAATGCACTAGCACTTGCAGTGAGACCTTAAGTGATTTCAAATAATAGCTCATAAATAATTTAATTTACAAATAAGAATTTGTAAATGGTGACTTCAGCCCTTAATTTTATTCCTGTTAATGTACCGTTAAGGATACATTTTCGTCATAAGTTATACCTTACCGAAACACCGGACATTAAGGAGACATTTCAATGTCTCCAATTTGTCACAATCCTATTTAGAGGCAAAATGTTAACGTCGCAAATAGGCTAGATCGATCGGTCATGGTCCAAACGTCAATATACCAGAATTTGTGGGGGTAGGAAAAGGAAATTGGGGTTAATAGGGGTAATTAAAGTTGGAAACATTTTGTACACAACCCTATGGGAATATCCCCCGACTTATTATTTTTTATTATTATTGTTATTAATATCATCAAAGGCGATACAATAAACTCCGATGTATAATACACTAAACAAGTCCACAGGGCAAAGTGACAAAGGTTTTCTGTATAGCGCAAGCGCATGTAATTATTGCATCAGAACTGGAACGGGCCAAGTTCAACTGTACAGCGCGCTACACGTATAGTAGAATCTTCTCGTGCAGTACAGACATTTCTAGTTGCTCTATTGCGTGTAAATAAAAGCTGGCTTGCTGAAACACGGACAGCAGTTTGCATCATCCTTTAAATAGGGGTGAAATGTAACGGCAAAACTTAGTTGTTGTATGCTCGTTTTCAGTGCTAGTGTGTGAGCGTACAGGCGTGCAGAACTCACCTTTTTTTCCTGACGGTTTTGACGAGAAAATTGTTCAAAAATGTCTGCGTATTGGCGAGTTTCTATGATGGTTCCAGCTTTTCGCATGGCGCGCCAGCTCTACCGTGACACACACGGCCCCATGGCGATGCACCGGTTCTTCCGCGACAACCACATGGTCAAGATATTCCGAGCCTGGCCCTCGGCGGCCAACTCGGAACTCCAGAAGTCATTCGACGAGGTCTGCAAGAGACACTGGGAGGGATTCTCCAAGGACATGAACAACTCATTTGGCGTGAGGATCGAGCGGGATCGGGACAGACGGGATTCCATCTGGCCTTCATGGGAGGCCAACTCGGAACGCCAAAAGTTATTCAATGCCATCTGCAAGAGACACTGGAAAGATTTTGAGAAAGACATGGAAGATACATTTAGCGTGAGGATCGCACGTGATCAGGACCGACAAAATCGGCGGGACTGCACCGACAAGGTGACCGGTGTAAAGACTGAACCAGTGAAGGCCGACTCACCGGCACCGTCCGAAGCGGGCCAGGGCTTCGAGGTCGCCCTCGATCTGAGCGGCTTCGCTCCCGAGGAAATCTCGGTCAGGATCATCGGCAATGACATCCTACGGGTGGAGGCGAGGCACAAGGCGGAGCAGGCGGACGGCAGCCGGGTCTTGAGGAGCTACACGCGGGAGTTCCTCCTACCGGCCGACGTGGACTTGGACGCGCTGAAATCCAACCTGGATGCCCAGGGAATGTTGAATCTGAAGGCGCCCGACAGGGACCTGCCCCCGGAGAGGGCCGTGCACATCGACGTCGCGACGGCCGGAGAAAAGTCATCCGAGCCGACCGAAGAGGCTTCGGCTGACGAGGACATGAAAGTATCACACGCAGAAGAAGCTGATTCGAGTACAGCTGAAAAGCCGGAAGACAAGAAGTAACTGAATCACGAAACTGTCCCGTCCGTCTTTCTTATATCGGAAAATTGACTTAAAACTATACAGGGACGGAAATTAGTGTGGCTTATGCTCAATTCAGTGTATGGTATTTGATTGACAATTTTGTAAATACTAAATAAAATAATTAGAACAAGCATAGCCTTTAATTCAATACTCACGTCAAGGTTATAATAAACTTTTGTTAATGATGACGCATAACAGTCAGTCTATCAGTCTTTCACACGACTGATAAAGAAAGGAGATTCGAGCGTGATTTAACTGTTCACCGAGTATTAATCCCACTTTACATAAAAAAAGAGAGAAAAATATGAGCAAAATACTTCTTGCTTTTAAATCCAACAAAAATGGCATCAATCGTGGGATACCATTTTCCAAGTGATTCCTCCGCACACTGTATTAGTTTATGTGGACTTCTCTTATAAAATGAAGACTAAGTTGTCGTGATATGCTTTACTTAAGTATACATTTATCCAAAATTATCTTTTCAAATATGGGTTTTTTACTTGATTTTTACACTGAAAATTAATGTATGTAGCCTACCACTGTTAATTAAAAATTATGCAAAGTTAAGGCCTATCTGGAGAAAAATTGAAAAAAGGGTACAATTTGTTTAAAACTTTTGGAGAATGTTAAGTGACCAGTTTACTACATATACACAGCTATTTTTTTTTTATAACAATACATGAATGTGGAGACATGAATTTCTATATTCTGTTCAAGATGTTGAGCATACTTGCTAGAAATTTCTGTTGATGTTATTATTTCATTTCTATTGTGTATTATTAATGCTTATTACTCAGTAGCCAAAAGAATTTCTATAAATTTAGGTTTCCTGTTCTTGTCGTCCCATGGTACATCTGACATCTATGATTTTATCATTCTGACGCACTCCCTAATGACGTCGTCCGCCAAGAGTGATTTGAATAGCAAACTATTTACCCAACAGGAAAACAAATCTTTTTGAAGTCATTCTTACTTTAAAGGAAAATACCGACATGACTTGGGATCGAAAATGGCTGATTTTGACTTTTTCTCTATGTTAAAACCAGCCAACACTGGGGAGAAGTAGTCCGAAAATTTGGAACTCTCAATACTGTGTATGAGGGTCCCAAAACGTTAGGTGTTGAAAACAAGCAAAACAAGATACAATAGACAAGCACCTGAAACAACCAGTCCAACAACCCTTCAGTACTGCATCAATCAACTGTGCCAAAAGAAACATCTGGCATGTCTGGTACTAGTCTCTATTTCTACTCATTTCTTGAAAGTCAGCCACCAGACTAATCACGCCATAATGAAGAGGTCAATATTTTAAAACAGTTGGGCCATGGTTGGACATGCACCAATCTAGTCTTTAGCCTCAAATTGATATCACTTGACTTCCCTCTCAGGTGCAAAATATTGAAGAAAAGCCTCCCTTCAGAATTGAATTGAGACTTCAAACTTGGCTGGTGAAATACTAAGGACCTTGTCTTTGCCTGATGAAAATTGAGTACAGTTGGCCTGATTTGTTTTGCATGTTTTCAGCACTCGAGGTCCCAGTCTTGGGGAGAGGTTCTTTAAGCACTACTTCCCCTGTTATAATAATAACATCTTTATTCGCACAAATTCATGGCACAAGACACCAGTAAAACAGAGAGAAGTAAAATATAAACACATCATGATAAAAGAAAGACAAACAAAAATTACACAAAAACAAAATTAAGTCAGTTGACACAGATGTCATTTGTTATTTTGGAGACATTGGTGTCATTAAAAATGTCCCATCGAACAACGCTCTCTCTAACATTAATCATGTCCCCAAGTACAGAAACATTTGAATTCACACTTAGCGGTATACACAATCAAACCATGTTTTACTTGTGTACATAATGTATTCTGTGACTGACCTGTGCTGTTGGTATATCTCTTGATGCAAGCCACATTAGAAATACAGCACTTGATGATGATATTGCTTTCAAGATCCTTCCGCAATGATATCCACTACCTGTAAAAAGAAAGAGAAAATAGGTGAATAAAATCAAAAGAATAGGACCTGGGGAGATTTTGATGCAGGAGGTGAGAAATCTTAATTTTGGGAGCTACAGGCATACAAAGTTCTCCCAATGTGTCTGCTGATGCTCAGAAGTACATTAATGTTAAGGATACGTGAATTTCGTGGGTGTGGTAGTAAGATACCAGCTAAAAAATGCCGAGTCATTAATAATAAGAAAAAAAATAAAGGAAACAAATCCCCCCTCCCTAAAAAAACAACCAATTGACAAAAGAAAAAATACAGAAAAGGGGAAAAATTGCAGGTGGAACAGCTCTGGAACTCGGTTCTACATCTCTCCATCAATAGTCCCCTTTTAAAACAATTTAATTTTCTTCTCAAACTTCATAAATTTTTTTTAAATTCACTTATAATTATAGTTCATTATATTTTTGATATCACAGTATTACACTTTAATTATAGTGCATTCAACTAAAAGAAATCCTTTCGAGAAAAATAACCAACCAAGATCTAAATTATTTTCAATGCCAATGGTACGTGCCCTGCAGTAAACTTACCTGGCTTTTTCTGAATTTTGAACTAAGTCTAAGTAAGTTGTTGGCGATTTGCAGGCACAGCATGAACGATCATGAGGTGAATAATTCCCTTTGTACTGAAGCCAGTAGCAATCGTGTCCGTACATTTCAAACTACACGGTCTGTGCATGGTGACAAATGAAAAGAATCCTAATTAGAGCTTACATCTTTGCACTGTATTGATCAACATCGGCAGATTTTGTAAACAAACTTTGTATTCCGGACTTGTCGAACGCCACCAAGAGTTATACGCAATACTAATAGTAGGGCGCCCTCCCGTGCGCAATTTTTTTTACTGGACGCGGTGACCTAATTTAAATGAAGACGTTTTTCGTGAGAACCCGAGGTAAAGATGGTGCTCATGCTGAAAACTTCAACATTAGATAAATCATTACTCCCAGAAATGTTTATGCATACAAAAGTATCCTTTTATAGGCTACCGCTATAATTCTCACAACCGAAATGAGGATAAACTTTTCAAAAACTGGCGATTCAGGGCGGAACTTACCCTCAGAAACCCGTAAGTTGAAGTTCACGATTGAACTTTTTTTTTCATTTATTCGTTTTTTAAAGCTCTGGCAGGAGCTTCTACATGTCACTTGGTGGTCTGTCTGTCCCCGGAAAATTGACCAAAACTAATTGACTAATTGACCAAATGGCATCATGCCGTGGTCATAAAATGCACTCTTGATAACGGTTTGCGGGACACCAATTTGTTTCGATCGACGTGCATGGGGAGTGTGTGTGTATTTTGCCTGTCCCCGAAAATTTACCAAAATAAGCCAATAAGTTTGCCACAAGAAAAGCAAACAAAATAAATGCAATACTTAGCAAAAATTGCTTGCAACAATTCGAAAAGATGTTTATGAAAAGTTTGTAAATTGAGGCACAATTTGTGCAGTAATGTTACAGTCACGTGGTGTTTTGTGTAGTGGTTGGACGGTATCCAGGAGGAAATGTCCCCAAAATTAACCAAAAGTATGGTGGTGGGTAGGAGGTTGATAAACTTTGAACTGGGATAAAATGTTCACTTTTTGGACCTTGAATAGGGTAAATACACGTCAAAAAAAGCGCCAATTAACTTGGCCGATTTCGCTAATTTATAATTCTATAGAGAAAATACCTGGAATGAACTTAAACACAACAGCGCCACCTATTCCAGAGCCCTTCTGTCCTCCCCCACGATACCTTTAGCCCACGCAATTAATCAATCTCCTTTGCTATTGTGTATTAGTTGTATCCATCCGCAGCACTTTTATTTCGAAATTTGTCTTAAAAAAATAAGCAGGATTTGAGGTAATTTTATCATTCTATTGAACAACTCAAATTAGAATCCAAGACTCCCAGCAACAAAAGTACACCATGCAAATATTTAGCCAAAAATATATATTCATTTAATTACTCAAGACAGTAAACGTACACATTTAAGCCTTGCGGGCCCGACTTTGTTAAAATGTAAGTTTGCCTTGAAAATGCATAACACCTAATTCACAAATATTGCCCTTATTGCATTCCTCAAAAGAAACGAATCAAAGGGAAATGAATAAATAAATAAGTTCAAACTTATTGCATAAGTCGAAATAATGAAAGTGGATATAAAATAAAATGTATTGTACTTTTTTTATCGAACCAATAATGTCCAAAAGTAACTTCAAATAAAACCTCGCAAAAATGAATAAACTGTTTCGTCTTCAACCTTTTAAGACTGTCGAAATAAAAAAAAACTATTTTTTTAAATTTCAAAATATATTGTAACTTTGAAACTTCCGGGCCTCTTATGTGAAAATTCAAAATGGCGACTATTTTGGTTTTCACATTTGAGTATATCCGGGGTATTTTTTATATTTAAACATAAACTGGCAAAGATGATAATCGTAAATAAATAATCCTTGGAGGAACGCTTACTGCATGGGTCTTTAAATTTAACATATGACAGGAACGATTACATTTGATTTTAAGCATAAAAAGCGGACAGCAATAGCCATTTCAAAAGTGCTCTGTGAATTCAATTAAACATAATTTATAACTTGTGCATTAACTTTTTCGAAAAAAGGGAAACCAACCAACAAAACGTTTAATAATTTGAGTGGAAACCACAATCATGTTTTTACAGTCAGCCCATATATCCTGGGAGCCACATCGCCATGACAACGTAAAACATGGCGGACGTGAGGGCGGCACTTGCAGGGGAAGAGGACAAGCCTGGTTCCTGGACGTCACCGACATTCACTAACGGGATGTCTCCGGTGAGGGACTTGGGCGCCAGACACGTGTAGGTTTCTGAGTCGTAGTCCTCGTTTGGCTTGTCGCACACGCAGTGGTAGATGTCCTCGTTGTACGTGGAGTTCTCGGGGCAGCCGTTGAAGAGGACAGAGTAGATGTGTGCTGAAAAAATCAAGTAAGTAATTGAATCGATGTCAGGTTTGATACTCAACATTACATTCTTTAGGTAAAACTTTGGTTAAGGTAGTCGTGGGAAAAAGTAAAGCACCTATAGGCTTTATTAACGAGTAGGCCATATTAAATTGCAAGCGAGGTAAAATCTTTTTTTGAATTTGCGAAGAGAAATGAAAGCAATGACATTACAAATTATTACCAGTCTGCTCGGATGAATAATTGAAAATTTGTGATTAAACATACCCTCGTGTTTCAAGCCGGATTTTAAAAAAATGAAAGTGAGGCTAGAATGCATAAATAGTCTGGCACCATTCCATTCAACAGTTCACAATATATAAAATACAGTCGGGGAACACGACCAAATATGCTTCCTCGTGAATCAGGTCAATAGTTTTTCCAGAAATATGATTCAGGACAAGTTTGAATTTGTGCCAAATTGTGATTGTCAAAACAAAACGGCGGTCAACGCTTGTAGAAACAAAGTATAGGTGCTGAATACCTTGCGGCTTGGCAACAGCGTCCATAATATCACGTCTTGTCCGGGATCTGGGCAGACCGTAGGGCACCAGTGCCCGAGCCATCTGGTCCGCACGATCACCGCCGAGGACAACGGTTACCATCTCCTGGGCCGGAGCGGCGATGCCTCGCCTCCGCCTGCCCACAACTTGCTTCTGGACCAGGCGAAACACGGTGGTGATGGTGTAGGTCAGCCGCTGCTGCGACAACGCCGTGTTGAGGAAACCCATGTTGTACACCGCATTGGCCTGCACAGGAAAAACCAAGACGAAACAAGACTAGTAAAGCTGGTCCTAGAGTACACATAATTCCATTCATTTGATTCAGAGTGGCTATAAGACGGTAGAAGTCTTACATGCATCTGGTGTACACTATAGACCATCATGCTGCCACCATTTCAGTCATGTTCCCTGTATCCAATAACATTAACAGTACTGAATGATTGTTTTGTGCAAAAAGGAATCAGACTGTTTTGCCTTCCAGCCTCGCTTTGGTCACGTTGATTTGAATGGGAACAAATCATGACGGCCGCAACATGATAATGGTCTATGGGATCTACAATCGTCAAAGTCACAAGAGACAGAAAGTTGGTCAGGTACAAAGAGTGCACCAACGAGAACAGCAAAAATAGACATGAAACAGTCGCAGCTGGATATGTACATGTACAAAGAAACCGGCTATCTGCATTTTAGAAGGTGGTTCAAATATATCACTTTCTAATTCGTTGATTACTTTTTCAAGTCAGCTTGGTAAAACTAAAAAAATGTCTCGTTTGAAGGCCTGCCAAGGATTTTTTTTTTCAAAAATAGCTTCTCTTCCCAATCGATTCAAGTTGAGTTTTGTAGGCAACATCTGACATGATGGTTTAAACCACCGGTGGTGATCCCAAAGGGCGGGAAACTGAGTAACGTGCTTATGACGTAAGCCAGGGAAAGTACTCGTTGAAAGGCTAAGCGGCCATTATCTTCCCCAAACTGCCAGTCATGCATGACGCTCAATCACCGTAATAAATACAAATTGTCTCAATTTGTTGCCGAAAATTTCAACAGAACAAATTAGAAGCCCCTTACCGAGTCGTAGGAGTTCGTGGATAGGGTCTGAACCTTGTTGTCCCCAGCCAGGTCACTTGGGCCCCAGGTGAAGGTCTTGGGTTGCCCCTCTGCGTCAGTTCCCTCGACAGCGTAATAGAAGTCGGAGCTGAGATAGGCGACGTAGCGCTGAGCTTGCGACACTTGCAGACATCCCTGTCAACAGAAAAAACGTTTAGAAGCGATTAACAATACAAGAAAAGCCATTTCTAAACTGCACCCCTCCAGAAGCTTTGCAATTAGTTATGCATTTATTAACTGATCCGTCGAACAATCACTCTAAATGTGTTAACCCTTCACTTAAATACTGACCACGATTTCATTATAACTACTGGATTCTGGTACGGCAGTCTTGCACACCATAAAGAGAGTCAGCTCGAGATCGAAGTCTCGCCGGAGGAATTCGGGAATGTACCTGTGGGAGAAAAATAATAAAGATAAACAGATAACTGACTTTAATTTATGCATCGAGGGGCACGCGAACTGACCCATATATAGTGCCCGTTCATAAAATTACTTTTAGTATAAAGCAGACCCAAATATCGTGCGGGAAGGCGAAGGGCTTTACACTAAAGTTTTCTTGATGTTAAAATCTATCTGTATCTGTAAAGTTAATGTCGGCAAACAACTGTCGATCGGACACGCCAGGCCGTCTTGCTGCAAAGCCAGCTGAATTTCCCACAGCATTCTGTCTGGGGTATATATTCCAAAAAGTAAGCCCAAATCCACGCCCCTTGTAAGAGTGTGGATACAGTGGAGACCTCTTCCGGAACAACTTGTTGATCTCATTTTAAGACTAACAGATTTGTAGACTAACAGACTAACAGATTTGCAGTCCACAGCAAAAGTGTGACGTAACATGCACGACACCCATCAACGGTCTGCGAATCAGTCAACAATGGAGATCAAGAATTATTTCTGGACTTACTGGACTACGATGCTGACAGTCTCCAAGTGGTTGACTCCACGCCTGTCCCCGCCCTGGCGCAGATCCTCCCCGTTGGCGCCCGTGAGAGAGATAAGCTGGATGACCGGTCTGTCTTTGGTGCTATCCACGACTTGTACCACGGTCTGTAGCCGGAGGAAAGAAAACAATATTTGTCTCATCCAATATGCTTCAAATCAGTTAGGTATTGAGTGCAAGGTGGAGTGAAACATTGCAGGTATTTACTGTGTACTTGTACTTGAGCACCTATCTTTGAAACGTGCCCTATTAGTGAAAATGAGGGCACTGAATCGAGTGAAGACGGTAGGACTAAAAGACACAATGCGCGCCTTTGCGTGGATGATGTATAGCTTATTTATATCCTTTGAGCAGTTAGGCTAAGTTCAGGAAGCGTTGGTGATATACGAACATTTACAAAACTGTAGGCATTGTGAATTTTAACCAAATGAACCTAACAATGCAAGCTGTCACTGGTCTTTCTAATTATAATGCCAACCAAGTTATATAGCGCCCTCACCTGTATTGTGACCTCCAGGGAGATTGTCAAGGGATCCACATTCATTGGTGTGCAGTCGACAGGGTTCTTTTCCGTGGGATCGTTGCACTGGTACTTGGCGAACGTGAACTGAAACGTACCTACAAAGTACATCGTCCAAGGAAAAAAAATAACAATTTGACCATTACTTCATCCAAAACAACATCTTGAAAAGAATACATTTGGGTCGAACGACAGCTGAACATCGATAAAAATCAAACTAGTAAACCTTGCATCAATATTATTTTGCAAAAAACATATTTTGAACAAATGTGGGCGCTGTAACAATCTTTAATTGTTATATTAAAGTCAAGAGACAAATGCTTCGATAAACATTTCTTTTACTCTTGGAGCCAAGAAAACGACATCGAAACAGCGCCTTCATTTGGCCGATTGTGTCTTTGGGGATTTAGTGCTTTACCTGTGGCGTCAATGGGCATGTCGTCGTCAGTGACCGTCACGTCAAGATCGAGAACAAAGTTGAAATTCCAAATTTGTCGACATCTTGCAGTTCTGGTCAGAGAAGTAAAATTGACAGGAAATTAAGCCAGTTGCAAACAAAGAATACACAAATTAGGCCTACATAATCGTAAACACCTGTCGCACTATGCAACATCATTTAACACTAATTGAATGTGCACCACAGACAAAACACATTTGGTTCAGACGATATTGTTTGTTCGATACATCATCTCACCACATTAAAAGATGTAGTGTTTTGAAATAGAAGATGCGCAAGGATTTGGAGAACTTGAAGGACCAAGAAAATACAGAATTGAATGTAACTGCTTCTAGAAAGGGAAATTATGCAAGGAAATTAAAGCTATCGGTTGGGCCAATCAATACGCTATTTTTTATTAAAGTGTCGCACAACTCACCCCGTGTATTGGCACTGTTGGGTACCGTTGGGAAAATCGTAGCCCAAGTCGAAATTAATGAAGCTCTTGGCTGTGTTGTTCTTGGGCAGGTACTTGAAGGACGTGCTGTTCAACAGGGACAGTAACTCACCATTGGCCGACTCAATGGTGGTCTGGAACTGCAACTCGATGGAAGCTTTCTCCTGATCGGGAACAGTCTAAAAAAAACGCCCCAAATAATAAACTTATCATGAAAATATTCTACACATGACACCAAAAGCTAGCATTTTTTTGGTTAAGTATAGAGAAAGCATTAAGAACCTAAAATTGCGTGATTCCGACAAAAATACCTCGTCCTGTTAGTTGGTGTGACGTCACTTGAGTTTAAACCACGCCTACTGCACATTAGGATTGGAACCGGAATTTAACGCAACTTGAGCGTTTAGCCAATGGGCGCTTGCAATCAGTGGTGCGTGCGCGTGTCTGACGAAGTCACTGACGAACCCGATTGGCGCACATTAATCACTACTAATTGGTCAAAACATCATGGGCGGGGCTTAAATGGACCGGTCCATTTCGTTCAAGATTCTCACCGGTGTGGCGGTCGGGAAATACAGGTCAATGATGACGAAATCCAGTACAGGTTTCACCAAGGCAATGGAGCTGACGATAAAATTGACGATGGCCACTCGGCTCAGGCGGTAGTACAGTTTTACGCTGGAAGTCACCCACGACATACCCTGAAAAAAAAAAAACATTCACCAGGATCGAATGGGTAAACATTGTACTTTGATGCTTCCTCAAAAACTCACAGGGATAGAAATCTGGCGAATAAAATCTTTAATCACAGCTGGATGAATGTGAAAATTTACATGTAGTTTATGTGCAAATGTAAGATAAAAACCCCAACGTATACAATAACTAGGACCATGGGGGACATTAAATTGTCTTGCACATGAGCCTATTTTACAAAACAAATGTCCAACCATAACTTCTGAAATAAGGTATGTGACTGGTTGTGCAATTTGTAAGAATTAAATATTATTTTTGTCACATTTTTGTGTCACATTTATGGTAGAAGAATCTAAGTTATATTTCCTCCAAATCAGGCTACTTCATTCGTCAAAATTAACTAAGATCTCGGGGTTGGTTGGATGGTTGGTTGGTGGTTGACTATACCTTCGTGCCATCGGTGCGGTCGACCGGCCTGACATTTGTGAAGTAAATTGTGGTCTGGAACTCGATCGTGTCGGTCGTATTGGAGAACTGCCAGATGTTCAGTCCGTTGCTGTTAGTGCAGTTGAAGAAGTGACCAAAGTCGTCTGAGGAAAGAAACAGCAAAAATCAAATACTTTATGATATTCCTATTCCATTTATAATGCCTCTATACAACAGGTATTGCTGTTAAATGTATGCTTCTATCCAGCAAGTATTACTATTCCGTTTATGTTTCTATCCAACAGATAACTTAGTTTCTATCCTACAGGTATAACTGTCCAATTTATGCTTCTATCGAGCAAGTATTACTATTACTTTATGCTTCAATCCAACAGAACTATGCAATTTATGCTCCTATCAACCAGGTATTACTATTCCGTTGATGTTTCTATCCAACAGATAACTTAGCTTCTATCCTACAGGTATAACTGTTGAATTAATGCTTCTATCCAGCAAGTATTACTATTCGATTTATGCTTCTATCGAACAGGTATATATTAATGTTAAACTTATGCTCTTTCAATTGATGCAATCGAAGCAAAAGTACAACTGCAGGCTAAACGTGACAATAATATTTGGCGATAAAAAGAGGGTCATACCATTGAAGGACAAGGTATAGTCCCGTCTTTGTATGTCGTTGCCGTCGCTATCGGGCTCGGTGAAGTTACTACCGCGCACGTAGCTGGTAAAGAGGCGTTTGTTCGGTCCAACACCAGTCGTCTCGTTGGTGAGTAGGCTGACATTTCGGGTCCTGAAAAAAGATAACGGTTGAAGGCAAACCTTATGGATTATGGATTTGTAGTTCATTATAACTGGCCTTATTGATCATAGATATATCGGGTTATATATAATTTTCTCTGCTGATCAGAGATACCCGGAGACTAAACTCGTGAACGGTCTAAGCACCTGATCTCGCCCCCCCAAAAAAAATGCATTGTCTTTTGCTAATTGCAAAAGACAATGCACCTCACTGCATTAAAAGCATCCACTGGCAAACACCCTTTTGTACATTTTTGATTTTCTTAAATTTCAGGTGGCATCAAACCCTGTACAATGTAATGTAATGGCGGCTGAGATTTACCCAGGAAAGAATGCAGTATCCTGACGCCACCTCGAACGCTGTGGACAAAGTCTTTGAGTCTTTAACATTTTCGAGCTATTATCTAACAAAATCGACAATGGATTCCCAGTCCCAAATTCATGTTTTCAACAAACATTTGATCGTCATGCAGTTACATTATTATTACAAAGAGTAGTTTCAGAGTAATGCATTCTATACCAAAATTAATTTCTTGGGAAACAAATGATCTTACACGAAGTTTCCCTCGTCCGTGAAATAGTATCCAGTGTTGCCGCTGTCCTGGTACGTGGCATCACTGAAGATGACGCTGGAACATTCGCCGGTGTTTTCAGGTTGAATGTTGCCGGTTTTAGGGTCGACCGCTGTCAGGCCGTCCACGCCGTACTTCTGAAAGTCGACCACCCAGTACTCGGGCTCATTCAGTGTGTCCTGAAAATAAATGAAAATGGGAATTCTTTAAATGGTTTATGGTAACAACGATAGTATGCATACTATTTAAGGAAGGTATTCACTATACCATCAGATTTACTTGACATAACTTAGTCAATCCATTAAGCATAGATAAAGAATACGGCAAATAATCCCGTTAACCCTCTTCGTTTTATCCATTTCTTGCAGGCTTAGACCGATAATTGCCACAAGGACGTGTATGAGCAAGTAAAGGCACTTGGAAAGATTCCCATATCTGGCCATCACTAATTTTTCCCTTCAGTGACCTATCAGCCATCAGAAAGGGATAATATGTCCTAATAAGTCGAATTTAGCGGGATAAATATTGAAGTATTTACCGAGAAAACACTTAGAAATTTTCAGACCAGTCTCATAGGGTTTGTGCACAGGGTGACAAGTGATGGCCAGATATGGGAGTCTTTAGAGGCACTTTTTTGAGAAACCAATATCTATTCTTTTTACTGTGCATAGGCCTACATTGCGCATTATGTTACATGGCTGCCATTGTATTCTGCATGCCCACAAAACCGACAAATGAAAATACTGCCCGGTCCATGAAGACTATCCTTCAGTGATATGTTTTGTCTTTTGCAAATTCTCACCTCCAAAACGACTTGAAATTTGGTATTGCTGTCGTCAATTTCGAATTGCGAGATGTAGGCCTGCCCCATGTTCTTGAAGCGGGTGTCGGTCACTTTATCATCGATCTCCTCGCCGAAGCGAGCGGTCGAGCACCGGACCAGAGCGCCTAGGATGGCCAGGAGAATGACGGGGAGGCGCGGTAGAACAAGCATGGCTGATAAACAAGACGGAAATCGGATAGAAATAATTTACAGATTTTTTTTCTCTAGGTTTCCTAGAACGAATTTTGAGTAAAACAATATTTCACTAGTTATCGGAGAAAAGACCATTTGTATCCAGAATACTAATTCGAGCTTGCATAAAATCTTAATCCACACTTGAAAACCTCCCCAAAATCGATATATTTCACAGATAATTTTATCCACCACAAATTTATGGAAGCCTAATATTGAAGTGTTTGGTAATTTGTTGTATTGCTGACTGCTCGGCAGTGGTTGCACGGCTATCCATCCTATTTATTGTGATTCATTTTTCACCAGAAAATAATTTGCAAAAAAAATGCTATATAAATTCTTAGATCAAAAATTTGAGGATCAAAAACTTGGCAAATGAGGGCTCAAAACAAAGCAAAACGGCTGCATTCAATGCAACATATGAAATCGTGCACAGAGGATGACTGGATGATGGCATGTAGTTTTTAAGGTTTTTTTCTTTTCTACGGAAGCTGTATGTACTCACCGATAGCAAAATGGGTGTGTCCCCAGCGTGGATCAAGGGCGCATACCGGCGGGGCTCCAAGCAAGTTTCAACGGCGGAGGACCCTGCTTGCACGATGCTCACCCTAACACAGCCGGACGTACAGTGAATGATGAACCACGTGCGATTCCAATTGGCAATTTGATTGCTGCCGCTCATTCGATCCGCGGCGGGTCCGAACGCACAGCCAATCACAGCGCAGCAAATTTGGCCGGGTCACGTACTCGGCTATTGTTCACAAACAGCGCTGAACAAAGTATTGGTTTGGAATAGTGAAGGAATTTCCTCGGAATGGACTTTCGCTGTGGCTGAAATATGCGAGCTATGAAGCTGCATAATGGTACCGGCTTGGGTACGTGAATTCATTATGCAACAACGTGGAAAAGATTTGGCCCATTCGGTTGTAGATATTTCCCACCGTTATGCACATAGCAATATTGGGCAGTGTAAGGAATCCGATGTAAATAGCAGAGGCTTGTATACAAATATTGAATGCTTTATCTCGTGGTGTAGTAAAACTAGCCTCCCGAGGTGATCCATGGACATTCTATTTTCCCGAGGCGAAGCCGAGGGAAATAGAATGCTCCATGGATCACCGAGGGAGGCTAGTTTTACTTCACCACGAGATAAAGCATTCAATATTTGTTTTATAACACTTCACCCACAGATTCTGCTTGATTTTAATATTTTTAATTATTTAAATCTGAACACAGCTGAAATAAACTTCAATTTCAATACAAAATTGGTGGAAAATGTATTTCTCTCTTAAAAACTACCCCTTCACGATATGTTTGAACCCAAGTCTGCGGCGCGCTCTCTTTTGAATAATACGCGCTAGCGCTACGCACAACGCGCAACGCACACACCAGCATGCATTTGCACACAAATACCGCGCCGTGGAAATAGTACTTTGGTTGCTAATGGTATAGTACTTTGGTTGCTATGCGCATAGTACTTTTGGCCGTGCACAGAAAGATAGCAAAATTAGAAAGTAACATGTGACTCGCTCTCGGCCAATCAAGACACAGAATCTGTGGGTGAGGTGTTATAATAAACAATATGAAACGCCGCCAACGTCCGCTCAGTATTTGTTGTAACAGTTTAGAACAAGTTCGGGCGAGGACCATTGGTCGAATTGTGGTTGATTTGTAACGTAACTTACGCCTGCGCACTATTCGCTCCGTTCACAAGCACCCCCTCACCGGCAAAGGAAGTACAGTTGGGGGTGACCGACCGACGCCATCTTGCCTGACTGCAATTCATTTGCCGCAAACGCGGCCACTGCGTGTAATAGAACAAATCCCCTGGTGTACGTACGTCACATACAAGGAACGGTGCGCGTCAACCAGCGAAATGTCCCACCCATAGGACGTCGTTGTTAGGTAACAGGGCACCCTCTTTTGGTAGCGCACGGAGCTCATAGCGACATCAAGAAATGTCTTGGTCGTGGCTCCCCTTTGTGCTTTATGATGCACGCGGCTATTGGTAACCAGCGATGGAACCGTGCCCTGTCGTCTGGTTCCAAATAATCGACTAGAGTAGTCCAACCATCGTCGACTAGACAGAGTTTGGGCTAACTTAGTCGAACTATGGCTATCAATGGTTCTTGCGCGAACTTGCGCTTAGTTGCATCACTGGAGGGGAGGGGCTAAAGGAGAATATCACTAGAGGACGGTATTTACTCCAAATGCAGTAATTGTTTCAATCACCTAAAAGAAAACTATTTCTCATTAAAGGTAACTATCTAAAAATAAAAAAGCGCAAAATGTTTTGAGAACTCACACCATCCAAATTAAGAGAGGATAAAACTACACTGTCTAATTTTCACCAGCATTGAAACACAACAAAGACGAATGAGACCCAAAACACAGAACTGTAGAATTTAAATTTACTTTTATTAGAAAAAGAATACAATACACATAATCAGGTGCAGAATAGTACTATAGTGTCAATATTTATAACTTTACTGATACATTAAAATGTACATTAACTTGTATGTACAATGAATGACTGGCTTGTCGTATACAGGAAAACGGAGTGCATTTGGTATCAAACTGTTATACATTTTCAAAAAATAAATTCAAACAACTTTAATCTTTATCTCGAAGTACAGATCTTACATACTGAAAACGATAAAAGACTAATTCAAATCGCGACTATAAATCCGTACGCGTGCCGCGCAATTATCGAATCGAAACACAGGTTTTATCTCACCATTTTAGGCTAGTTAATGTGATAAAAGCACTGAATAAATCATAGCGTTGTTAAATATATTTCTTACGTATTTACAATATGACGAGCCCCATCAGATCTCCCTTTCAGCCTTTTATCAGACAAAATCGTAACATAAATATTGCCATAAATTAATGAAAGTATAAAATTGAAGAGTAACCACGCACATCAACAAATCGGCAACCTGTGGCATGGACACCCGTACATATTTACATTCAAAATTGTGTCGTTTCGTGCGCAGTGATTTGAATCCTTGCAACCCATTTTTTCAAGTTGTAAGTTTCCTTCATATTGTCCAGCTTTTTAAAAATCTATCAATTTACTGCATGCTACAATAATAGTACAATGTTTATTTTAGTGCATAAATCTTTTTACCTTGCAACCTAATCGGTATTCCAACCGCGCTTGTGTACCTCCAGATTTGAGTTTTGAGTCTGGTTATGCAACCCGACATCATCAGTAATTTTAAAGCCAAAAAAATTATGGATACCAAAGAAATTCGAAATGAAAATCTGAGCTAAGTGCAAATTCCGGAAATTCGGGCTGCACCGCATTCCTTTTTTTTTTTTATCACCGTCAAAGAAAAATTGCACATTGATTACCCCATGGGCCTGTGTACATTTATCCAGAGGTGAATTTGACGAACCTTGGAAGTGAACATGCGCAGTTGGACTACCGAACATGTGAATATTCATTAAGCAATATGGCAGCCTCCGTGTCACGAGGAATAAACGACGGGCAACTTCGCGATTCAGCCAAACGGACTAAGCATGTGCCAAGGGATTATAAAGGCTAGACAAGAAGAAACCAAACGGTTTGTATGCATGGATAAATACTGTTGATAGCGCCTATTGTAAATCGACTCCTTCGCAAAACAATGGCCTCGCTAAAGTCACCTCTGGGTGGCAAACTTCTCCCTAGGGTGTGCAAAAAAATCACAGCAAAATTGTAGGATTCAAGACTGTTGAGGGTTAACGAAAGAGGACTACAGAGGTCTATGGACCAAAACTGCTCTTTACCTTGTACTGAACGTTCTCTTTCCGTGTAAAACACTGGATTTCAAATGGAGTTCAAATTTCACTTCGAAGGGCTGTACTGTTTTTCGTAAATGGTTGTGAAGTTAACATTGACTCCATCAACATCTTAAAAACAATTTTGGAATAGATCGGAAGTGTGCACTGAAGGTATACGTTTGCAATGCATTGTGGGGACATTCCGCGCTAACGAAATGGGGATTTGTGCCGAGAAAACTGTCCCACAATGCAACGCAGCATACACCTTCAATGTACACTTCCGGACTAGTGGCTATCCGTATAAGTGGCGTAACGATTTTGTTTTAAGCCCATAGCAAATAATTGAGGCCAACAGGTATTATGTGGATGGTGTGGAACGCATGCATAACTACTGCGAGGTAAAAGGCAAGTGTTGGACTAACGTGGAGCCTTCCAAAATTGGCAAAAAAACGTACCCAAATGGGAAAAACGATTTAGATAATAAGGACAGACTCGGAGCGGTCCAATTTAGCACGTCTATACAAACTCGATCACTATTCACTAGACAGTGTAGGGAGCAAAACATACCACCGAAGGAGCTGCTGAGGGTAGTTAGGAGGAGAATTAAAGATAGACAAGGCGCATTAGTTACAAAAACTACCCTCAATTTGTACCCCACGTCGACGGGATGGACTCGCCTGTGCATGGTGCGCCCGACGCCAGTCTTTGTGAAGGCTGCCTTGGTCCACATCGAGTGTCACAATTCCTCTCGTATAGGAACCAAACAAAACCCAGCGCAGAGGGACAGGTTCAGACCGTACTGCACTGTTCCTCCTCTAGCACGGGCGAGGAATTATTGCTGTCGTAGGACCGCTTGGGGATCGAGGAGTACTCGGTGGGTTGGTCTGTGGTCGAACCGATCCTTCCTGGATGAGAGAGAGAGAGAGACTAGGGGTCATTCTATACATTTGGGGTTCTGATGCCCTCCTTAATGCAGTCGTCTTCCAAGAGTGATTACGAACAGCGAACTACCTACCCTACAAATATTATTTAAAAATCCTGTTCGAAGTCACTCTTAATGATACTTGAATGGCGAATTACCAAAGTCAAAACTGTCACACTACCAATTGAAACGCTAAACCTGCAGAACTACCCACAGGTGAAGAACACTGAAAATAATATTATGAAATAATTAAGAGAACCCACTAAACATGCATGTTGCATTATGCATTCCGAAGCCAACAATGAGGTTTTGGTTATCTTTTTGCAATGATATTAATGAAACAACAATAATGTCTACGCAGGCGTTTCCGTGTTGAACTCTAGCACTTACTTCAAAGATGGCGGTAGCGCAAAGAATCTATGGGTGCATCCAAATAAAAAGGCTAAAAGTCCGTCCGCCGAGCTCAGGAATAAAAGTTTTACATTAAAATTATTCTATATTGGAGAGTTTGAGAGCCATGGAACTGGGCGATTGAAGACATATGTCTGAATGCACCTCTGGCCTGGACTTGGGGCTTCCAATTCGGAGCATTTGGGATGCAATTGGGTCCGAAAGTGGCCCTATTGAATTTTTGCCTTGTTGTGGAGCGATCCTTTTTTTCCAAAATGGCAAATTTTCCAGATTGGGAAGTATATTTAGTTTTAGGGGTGGTCCACTTTGGGTGAGGATTTCTCAAAAAGTCATCGTCAACCCACCAAAACTTGAACGGAAAATGAAAGACGATGTGTTGATCATCATTTTTCTGTGCTGCCTGGACACCTGTGAGAGTTTTGGGTATTTTTAAAAGGATTTTGGAATATGGGGACTTATCAATTTAGTCACTACAGGAATTTATTTATTTACAGTTGCACCACTATGCGAGCAATTTGTAATATTATTCGCCACCAATATCCTTTGCCTCACAGATGCCACTTTTCAACTGCACGATCGACATTCTGCACGTTTTATTCTATAGTAATTCAACAGTTTTTCATTTCAAAGCCTTGTAACTAGTCATCGTTAATGACATGAAATAATCCGTACAATGTTTAAGCTGTCAACTTGGACGCGGACTTTTCCCATGGTGCGCTGCGAAAAATGGCCTCTCTACGGCAAACTCTTGGTGGCGCCCTGTATTGGGAATATTGCTTAGTTTCAGTCCAGGATATTACCAATTGATGTGATACATGTAGTAGTAATAGTAATAGTACGTTGTTCAGGCATATGGTCACATAAACAACGATTGAAACAACAAAATCACAATCTTATTATTAACTGATAAACAACCAAAGAAAGACAATGTTGACTATCTTACAGAAGAATTAACAGTGTAACAAAACAATGCCGCTATAACAGGTTGTATCACTCCAAATGTGCACAACATACAATACACAGATTATACATATCAGGCACAGCAGAGCTGTAAATACCACAATTAAACAGAGATTGACAATGGAGGAGGTGAAAATAACATTTTGTTAGTTGGTTAAAAAGGGCGAAATTACTTGTCCAGCCCTTTATCACAAATACATCATGTCTTTCGGCACCAAGTCAAGTCTGAAGGTATCCAATTGAACATCTACACACAAAAAATCTGTGTTACTATTTATTTCTTGTTGCTTGATTGTTAGACTGTTTCCTCCTAAAAATGTGGGGACCGGTAGATATAGCTCCCATTTAAAGCCATTGATTGGATCTCCTCTGCATGACTGTTTATTTTTTAAATCGCTGTTTAGCTCAGTGCACAGACGGCTCTTGTCTTACCACAAAAGTACACAAAATCATCAGTGTCTCAATGAAGGTAACTTTAAAGCATCTCAACTGCATAGGTTTTAAATACTGAACAGTAATTTCTCTCTCTGTATCGATATTTTCCAGAGACACTTTCGCATTCAGCAAAAATCGAAGCTCATCACCTCCGAAATTGTCATTTTGCAATAGGCTGGTTGCGGGCAAACATTGCCGTTGTGATGTTCAAGTTCAGGAGGCAGGATTCAGACCTCTACACCGTCATGTATATTTATTTTCATACATCAGGAGGGATGCTTTCTGATATTTGGAACATCATTGCTAGCTACCTGTCCCCATTTTTAACGTCTGAAGGACAATGGGGTCGGGGAGCCAGACTACATGATTGTCATCTTACTCGTTATTCGCCTGGTGATGGACTGTGATGTGGCTTGTGATTACTTGGACTTTACGAAGCGAGGGGGGGGGGGATGTGTTAGATTATTTCTACATATTACACAAAAACAGACTCATGGTTGAATTAGGGAATCACTTGCAGGCACTTTTTCTCCGTCTAGCAACCAAAACCGAAGACATGTTTTCGGAAGCCGATTACCTTTAACCGGGGCTGGTTTACAATGTAAGGCGGACAAAGGCAAAGCGGTTAGGGCAGTGGCTGCTACCTGAGGCCGGACCAAAACACGAAGCGGACCCGTGCTGAATCTGGTGATTGGCAGCCGTCAGCTTGAGCCTCAAAGACTGGAAAATAATTTTACATTTCGAGGACAAAATACTACATTACGAAGAGCAGGAACGACAGCAACAGTAGAACAGTAAACCAATATTTTAAAACTAGAATACTAACTGACATGAACTTTTTTCGGTGGCAGAAATTAGAACTTAAATATGTACATGTAATGAACTTAGTTCGAATTCACGACATCTCAATAACTTTTTCAAGAGGTATATTTTAGATTAACTAGCAGGTGCCGCACTTTGCGCGGCATCCCGCTAGCTGGTTGACCTCAATTTGCATGTTGACCCCAATGGGCGTGGTAAACCTTGGGTGAAGTAACTTTGCCACATTTTCATTATCAACGTTATGTTTTGCGTAATAGCGATACGTTTTGGAGTGGATGGGAGTGTTTTCATAGAGATAATGTTGTAATATTTAACCATTGAAAGTCTGAAAGAAACAAATTTGCCATAAAAGCAAAACAAAACAAATAAATAATTTTTTTACGTGGCAACCGTGCCTTCAAAGGACAGTGATATCAGGGCATATATATCACTTAAGGACCTGTATAAAATCACAGTTGTATTTTGTGTGCTTGCCCACACTCTTGAGGCCTTTTACAAAAAAAAATGACACACAGACGGACATACATCAGACAGAGAGCCAGACAGACAGACTGACATCAGACAGCACTGAATTTTTTAATATAGGATAGTAAGCATGCAGTTGATGACCGGGCCCCTACCTCTCGTGGTGGAGAATTCGTTCTTGGAGCCCAGGCTGCCATTGCTGGACTTGCCCTTGCGTCGCTTCAGGTGCTTTTGGAACCACTGCGTGAAGGACGTGGTGCTGAGGGTGTACAGGATGGGGTTGAGGGCGCTGTTGATGGGCAGAACAAAGATGACGATCCAGCCGTACAAGGTCGCTGCAAAAGAAGAAACACAATCTCTTTTTGGATGGCAAAAATGTTGGTCAAATATGTGACACTCTTGACGGATCGAAAGACAAATTTCCAGGAATGTTCACAACCACCACACTATCGAAATCTTGGGCAATGCCATTTTGCCCGGCAACTGGTTTTAAATTAACTTAGTTGTTGGTTAATTCAAGTAAGATTTTACCAACTTTCGGGATATTTCCCAAAAAGCGCGGACAGGTTGATATTTTGACCAACATCTACCGATTGTTTTTAAAGCTAAAATTGAAATAAAAGGCCGATGTATAAAAGCGACATCATACAAATACAAAAAAGGACTTAATTTATGATTGAAATGGACAACCTTTGACCGAGGCTAAAAACCACAAGGCAGGACTCCCTGTATATACCTGGAATTTCGTAGCTGCATAGTGAGAGTATTTTGAGGATGGCGATGGGCAGCCAACAGAGGGCGTCTGTCATGACAACGAAGAGGAACCGCTTGGCGTAATTCATGTCCCCGCGTCTGCCGAGGTGAGTGGCTGCCTTTCGCGTCTGTTGTATGCTAATGAACATGCCTGTGTAAAAACAAATATTACGTCGTTAGGATGTCACACTATAACAAATATCGGTCAGTAAAGTGTTACAAGATTGTGACTTGTCAATGAACTGACTTGTGAATTGACATGGGATTAGACTTGCGATTTAACTTGTGATTTGACTTGTGATTTGACTTGTGATTTGACTTGTGACTTGACTTTGATTAGACTTGTGATTTGACTTGTGGTTTGACTTGTGATTTGACTTGTGATTTGACTTGTGATTTAACTTGTGATTTGACTTGTGATTTGACTTTGATTATAGACTTGTGATTTGACGTGATTTGACTTGTGATAGGACTTGTGACTAGACTTGTGACTAGACTTGTGACTAGACTTGTGACTAGACTTGTGACTAGACTTGTGATTGGACCTGTGATTTGTCCGATGACTTGACTTGTGGTTGACTTGTGATTTGAATTGTGTTTGACTCGATTACACTCTGCCAAACGGAAGCACGGGGGACAAGTCCCCAATGCGCCCCTTTATAGTTACCGCCACTTCTTACCTGTGTAGGAGATGGCGATTGCGGTGAAGCAGGTCGCGTTCAGTCCCAGAAAGATGAAAGCCGAGTACTCCCAGCCTTGCAGCCACGGGTCGTGGATGTGCAGCGGGAAGCACACGCCGTTGCTGCCGTAGAAATCGACGAAGTAACCCACGCTGATCAGGGGAATCCACGCTACCAGGGCTCCCAAGAACCAGATGATTGTCATGATCACAAGGGCTTCTTTGGACGTCAGCCTGTTTGTTTTACAAGGCGGAAAAGGAAGAGAAAAGGATCAGTGTTTATTAAAGTAACCAAGCTTTATTTTGTTTGCAATTCATGTTTCAATAAACCCTGCACCTATCATTGCAGTGTTAAATTTACACGGTGCAATTTATTCCGTGTGAGCAGTTTAAGACTTAAAAAAAAAAAATCTTGTGTATCACAATTTTTGTGTGTATAAGAAGAAGTGAGACATTCAGAGTTTATGCGCCTCTGAAATTGCTTGAATTTCTTTAGACATTGAAACATGCGTGGTTTCATCAATGGAAGTTTGTTCCAATTATCTAAAACTGTAGATGTACACTGATGGTGTATTCTCTAACACTGTGAATGATGTATATTTTTCACACAATCACGCGGGAATTAGGAAAACACCGAGTACACAGTTTTGTACAAGACGTCGGTGAAGGGCAAAACCCAATATTGAGATGTATACTGATCCTAATGAAGCGGATTTCATAGGGAAAAAGTCAATACAATGGTTTAAGAAATTGTCGAGATGCAATATTGTTCTCAATTCAAATCGGATGACGAATAGGCTTGTGTTTTCTACAGCTACTATATTTTTCCAGACATTCTCAATAACTCTAGAAAGTTTAAGTAGAAATCCTGTCAGCGTTTGGACTGTGTTTTTTTTTTTTGGAGACGGGGAGTATGACCAAGTGATTATAGGGTTCGTGACTCATGATCAGAGGGTCAGGTGTTCGAGTCCAACTGCTGGTCATACGATGCGTCCTTGGGCAAGCCAGTTCACCCCACTTGCCTCTCCCCACCCGTGAGTATAAGAAAGTACCGGCATTAGCTGGGGAGTAACCTGTGATGGACTGGCATCCCGTCCAGGGGGAATGGAAATATTGTCAGTCGTTTCATGCCACTGAAACCGGAGATAAACGCCGACCTGATGGGCCACACTGGCACGTGACAGACTTACTTTTACCTTATTTTTTTTTAGTAGAGATTGTTTATACAAGCATGATAATAATTGTGTCACCTGTGCAGCCGATATGGATAGACGATGCAGATGAAGCGCTCCAGGGAAATGAAGGTGAGCATGAAGACCGACACCTCGCTGGAAAACATGGCCATGAAGCCGGCGAACTTGCAGGCGGAGCCCTGCATCCACTCCAGGGCGTGGGTGTTGAACTGGTTGCGGAACTTGGCGTCGTGGTAGCCGATGACGAACAGGTAGATGGACATGCAGAAATCCGCGGCTGGGATAAGACGGAGAGAAAGAAATCCCAAGTTTGTGGATTGAGTGTCAGAAGTCCACCACATGTAAATCACAAGTAAATCACATGACAAGTAAATCACAAGTTCATTCACAAGAAAAAGACAAGTAAATTTTAAGTTCATTCGACAGCAAATCACATGTAACTCACAAGTATAAGTTCCTAACAAGTGAATCCCAAGTTCAAAACAAGTCCCTAATATTAAGTACGGTCAAAAGTATATGGGGGGGGGGGGTGGTTTCAATATCTTATAACTGGTTTAGGGGACTTGTGGAGGTCCTGTGAGGACTTGTGATTAAGGGCTGACCCAGAACACAATATTTTTAAGGGGGGGGGGGGGTTGTTACCCGAAAAAGTGGGTCCTAAAATTTTCCGCCCTATAAATTTAATATGAAAAGCAGGGGGGGGGGGCACTAAACTTATCATGGTATTGCCGCATGGTGGCGCATTTTAATGCTGCGCCCCCGAGAATCTCATTAAGCAGGCTAATATCTAACTCAATGGGAATATCTAACTCAATGGAAATATCAAAATGGTCAAAAAACTGAATCCGAAACTTTAGAAACATTTTTTTAGCCGAATTACTAGAGCGAGTATGGGATTTTTTTTTAGCGTGGTACAGTTCTAGAAATTAAATTTAAAAAAAAGTAATAATTCGGATTACTCAATATCTGACGTCTGCATCTGAGCACGCACATTTGTTTGTTTTTCGAGGGCGAACTGACATAAAATCAGTCGATATTACCACATTTTTTTCTCAGGATTAATGACTTACAAGCAGCTACAGTTCCTATACGTTTTCAAGGACTCAAGAGAATCTATAGTCTTTATTTGACTGTCTTGTTTTAACAGAGTGGAAATGTAGCCTCCTCCTCCAAATTGCTGTTCCCCAATGATGCCCAAGGCAACATGTTTTTTTTGCGGATTACATTGCGAGACTCGACGAATAACGAAGACAACGTCTGATCAAGGCTCTTGTTGAGTGAATAATGCTGTGAAAATCGGATTTGGACGCTCTCATACATTCTAAAACAACATTCAGTGTAACTGTTGCTTGAAAGATATGGGCTAAGAGATTGCATCTGCTGGGCCGGTTGTCGCCTTGGGCGCGGCTTGCCTCAGAAGATAACCTTCCGTCTGTTGACTATTTTCAGAACAACAGCCTTTCATGTCTTCTGTTCCTGATGTAATCTTTCAAACTTATATGTGAAACAGGGTCAAGGGTATTGAGCAAGGGCGTCAATCGCTTCTCAAAAGTGGGGCAGTGGGGACATACCTTGATCAGAAATAAGGCGAGCGCGAAGCCCTTACGGCGTGGGGCCCGGGGCCGCTTGAAGGTCCCCGGAAAAACATTGCATTCTACATGCTGTGTGGTGTGACCTGAGGCAATTTTTGATCACTTTAACCTTTTTTTTTTTTAGCAAAACATCGTCATTTAAACATGATTTTCGAGTTTGGAGTCATTGAATCAGATATTCTGAGCTATAGAATGAAATATAGGCTACAATATTTTACTTGTGGACGGAAACAAGTAGGGGGGGGGGACCAAACGATATGACACCCCCACTTTAAAACGTGAGGGTGGTATTGAGAAATGTAACCTTTGGAACTTGTTGGATGATACACTGTAATGTCTTTATTCCACTCCCCTAAGCTTGTACCTGCTTAGTTTCCTGCAAAGTCTGGGTAACTTCGGGGATGTACCTACTGAGGGTCAAACAATTTGAACAGCTAAAATCCGTCCCCAACGAAATACACACGGATTCACCATTAAGGATATAAAGTTGTTCTTAAGGCGATTGCACTTGGAATCGCATGTAGTGTTTTTTTTTATATATCGGATTAGCCTACGCGTGTTCTGAAATGTCTGCCAAAAAATTAGGGTTGGAAAACATCTGGGACGAATGATATCGAACTGATGTCTTACTATAGGCCTTATGCCCGCATTGCCCACTCGACAACGAATTTTTGCATGCGAACTTTGTACGAAATCATTTTTCAATACCACACCCCAAGGGCCCGAACATAACCGGAGTACATCTAGAACTCTATCGACGTGAACGCCTTGGCAGTGCTGTAGCCGAGGCCTATTTCGAGACCTTTTGAGACATTTTGATTTCATCAATAATATTTATATTTATAGGGACAATCTAAGTCAAATTACTACAGCCTATTGATTTTCATTAGTTGTTGGAGGAATACTAATACATACAAATGCTAAATGTTAGTAAGACCTTCTCGAGACCTTTCGGGACCTTTTCAAGACCGATTGCCCAAATACAATTTTAAATCCTACTTTACAATTCAAACAACCACACTGATTTGCATCTCGCATTTGAAGGAATTAAGAGGCTTAATTTGCCCATTCGTGATGACTTATGAAGGCATTCGATGCTTCATTATATGAGAGTCCAGGAAAGGTCGTCATTACAGCTCTGCTTAATAGGCGAGGGGTTTCTTCCCATGGGGAGCCACGGCACACGCGGTGAGAGTACGGAGAAAAAAAAGGTCATGTCGTGCCGGTGACGTCCCCGAGGCATCGATTGATGTAGGCAAACATTCGAAGCTTCCGCATGAGCAGCATCCAGGGACAACTCTTCATCATCCGATTCATTGTTTGTCTCGCTACTCTGTACAAACATTTCATTATAATGCATGAGCGTTTCCGTTTGGGGACTTTACTTGTTCAGAAGATGGGGCAAGCAAACTCGATTTTATTTGAACTACTTGAACATTTTATCTGATTCTCTCGTGCGTTTACCTGACTTGATTGTAAAAGAAAGTATATATTTACTTATCTCACCTCCCCAATTACTTTTTGGTTATTGAGCGAATTTGTCTCTTCAATATTCATTATATTCATGACATTACTTCATAATCTTAATCTTAAGTAAATGTATATTGAACAGATGTTGTTTTAACCATTTTCCGGTGTCCTCATTCTTTTCTTTCAGACTTTACCAATTCAAGAATTTCAGTTCCGGAAACTTCTACAAGCTATCATGAAGTTTCCCCTCCACTTCCTAAAAGAGTTTGGCAAAGGGGGTTGGTAGTTTGCCGGAAGTTGGTCAAATTCTTCCCAATGATTGATCAAGTTTTACCCCAAGTAACCAACGATAAGGTACCTTCATACAAAATGTTGGGTAAATAACACTGCCCAACTTATCAAAGTGTGTACTTGGTGCCAGCCACAGCGTCAACACCTGCCGTAGTGGTTCCCAGTCCCTTCAGTTTTCAACTCGATCCAAGTGCAATTTTACTTCATATTTCCCGCCATCAACGCACCGCCAAATGCATCATGGCAAGACCCATGGGTACCAGGGAACAATGAAGACACACACACGTAAAGACACTTACTGCACAGGTTGACGACTACCAGCGAGTGGATGCGGTTCTCGGCCTTCATCAGGTAGCGGCTGATCAGGACCCCAATGTTGCCCAGGAAACACAAGAGGGCGATGGTCCAGACGGACACTCGCAGGATGCCGTCCTTGAGTAAGTTTTCGAAGGAGGAGATGCCGTCGGATCGCGGCTTGCAGGTGCGCACGTGGGCTGCGTAGCGGCAGTACTCGAACTTGAAGAACTCGCTGTGAATTGAAAAAAAAACCCGCCAATCGGAATAATTAGGAGCGATTTACAACACAGGGCGCCACCAAGAGCTCCTCTATAAGAGAGCAGCGAACTAGACAAATTTCAAAAATGCAGCCAAGCCAAAGAAGTAAGCTACCGTACGACATTTTGAACCTTAACTTCAGGGATAGTTTTGTCTCTTTTTCCCTCGTGGGATTAAGTGTGTATTTGAAATTGAAGTACATAGTTCGAGGCTAAAGTTTGGAGAATGATTTATTGGTTTGGACATTTAAGTCTCCTACAGCATTCTTAAGCCTGAAATAAATCCAAAGCCGGTGACGAAGCCGTTGTTTTACAACCCTGTAGGCCAATCCGGTTCGTTAGTGTGACGTCACTGCAGTTTGAACCACGCCCACTGCCATTAAGTAGCATTTGAACCATTGCAACCGGAAGTTAACGCAACTGGAGTGTTTATCTAGTGGTGCGCGCGTGTATGACGTTTTTACTAAAGAACCGGATAGGCCGATAGTCAACATCTGCTAATATGAAAAGTGTATTCCTTGAACAAGAGCTCAAGTTGTTGCATTCAGTCTGCATCCGTCAACTCTCGTTAGGTATTTACATACTGCATCAACATACAGTCTCCCCATAGGGCCTTGTCGTGTTCTATTAGTATCTCAACAGTCTATGCATTGCCCGGGTAACATTTAACGCCCGATCATAGATTCTAGCGGGAAATTGGAGATATATACACGGAAAATTTAACAAAATCTCCCAGATGAACTTCCTATTATATTCTTGGTGTTTTTCTCTCACTGTTTTCCTATACAAACAACTGTGTTGCCCGGGCTTTTATTAAATGAGCGTGCATGAATGGAATCCCTTGGTAAATTAGGAATCAACATTTAGGAGAGAAAATAAAAAAGCATTGAGATTTTGGCATGATTTGACAAGGAACTCCCCCAAGCGATGAATTGTTTGTCACCGAGGAAACAACAGGAATTGCCGTGTCTGTTCCGATCTACAAAAACCAATAACTTGATGATTGCATGCTAAAGTAAAAAAAAAAAACCACATACTTCAGCGGGGAATTTCACTCATTATTATCTTCTTACCAAAAAAGGGCCAATATTTCTTTTTCAAAAGGCAAATTCTGTTGCTTGATTGTTTGGATAACCTGGATTACGTAAACCTGACGTCATTGTGGAAACTTTTAACCCATTTACACTGTTTGGAGATCAATACAATAATGTACGGAAAGTTCTTGGGAACCTTGTTTTAAAAAGAAAAATTGGTAAAAAGAACGCAACTTTTGTTTCTGCCGATCTTGGTTCTACTGAAACAGAAGACATTGCCCGAAGGGTATTGTCAAATGTGTCCCTGTCACCGGTGTGCACGGATTCAACAATGACTTTTGGGGACGCCCGAAACTTCGCCATAACTGTCGCTTCGATGTGAAAAAGAGTAAACTACTCAAATTCCAGTAACCATTTCAACTTGACCATCACTTTCAAATTGTTTGATATATCGATTGTGCCTTGCAATAGAATTCAATATTTTGGGAGCCAAAGAGGATGTTCGTTATAGCCGAATGTTCGCTATAGTGGTGCTCGTTATAGCGGCGATTTACTGTATATGAGACCTCAAGTGATACCAAATCTATTGACATGTTTTATGTGCTACGTACATGTGTTGCAGATTAGTCATCCCTTTGAACATCCTTGCGCTGATGTTATTGATGACGAGGCCTCCTAAGTTTCTGAAATAAGAAAATGCAATAAAAAAAAATTAAAAAACTTAGAAATATTAGGATGTCTTTTTTCTACAGTACCTTCTACATTCAGGGTGTTTCATGAAATGGTACAAAATCAAAAATAGCGCTGCCCTCATAGAAAAACCATTCAGTAGGGTTCTAATGGAACGTCTTCTGGTTGGATCTATAGGGATCTTTACTTGACAAATGAGATACTCACAAATCATCCAGGAGAACAAGGTCATCGAACAGGTCCTCGGGCAGGGACGTCGCCGGATTATTCGCAATCGTCCTGAAGGAAGATTAACATTATCATTTGGTATAAAACATTAGGATTTCCATTCCAAAACAAGCCCCAATTATGCATGAAATTAAGGAGGCAATAATAGTTGTTGTTTTCCTTTTGACTTACATATTTGAAGATTTTGTAAGACAGGAATCGAATCGGGGAATGTGCTTCGTTAAAGTAACCATGGAATCAACACAGGGTGAGTAAAAAAAACACGAAACCCAAATGTCGGGACTATTGTTTTAGTGAAGTTCTGCATGTAGCACCTGCCGCAAAATCTATGATACCAAAGCCCAATTCATAAGCTTTCCTTTAGTACAAGAATCATTCAAATCACTCATGTACTTTTCAAGTTACGGAATTTTAAACGCAACCACCGTTTTAAAGTTCTGTCCACGGATCACACAGAGAGTGTGCGTTCTTTCAGCAAAATGAAAACAATTCACACACATCCATTTGTTTTCGTTTTGCTGAAAGAACACTTACTTTTTTGTGATCTGTGGACAGAACTTAAAAACGGTGGTTGTGTTTAAAAGCCCGTAACTTGAAAAGTACACGAGTGATTTGAATGATTCTTGTACTAAAAGAAAGCTTATGGATTGGGCTTTTATGTCCTAGATTTTGAAAGTGCTAGATTGAGAACTTCACTAAAACAATGGTCCCGACATATGGGTTTCGGGTTTTTTTTTTACTCGCCCTGTAGTTTTACAAAAATCCCAGTGATTGGAATGACATCGACACAAGCAACTTACATCATTTGCTATTTTGTATCCATTTCATGTTTTGACACTGACTCACCAATGGAAAGAACAACTCTGATGATTACTTATTCATTATGCGAAGTTCAATCGGGCAACTTCCCCTCAAAATTTCCCCAGAGCATTACACGTCTGCATAAACAATGTGTTCGTATCATTCCGGTCCCATAACAATACGGTACAAGCCTACGGGGCATATCTGTTTACATTCCTTGTGTGTTCGAGGAAATGTTTCTCTTGAAAGGTATTCACAGCTAAGTTTTATTTTCATGATTTGATTTCTGTATTTGAAAACAATCTCCACCGAAAAACAACGCTAGTATTCAGAATTGCGTAAAGGCGTTAATCTCGGCACTTGAACTCGACAGGCCATGTTTAGAAAGCGTGTACTTTAGTCCGTTATCAGAATCTAGATTACATCAGACTACATAGAGTGCAATCAACATCAATACTCACAAGACTGTAAGGTTGGCCATGTTGCGAAACAGCCCGGACGGAAAATGCCCGATTTTGTTTCCGGAGACGTGACTGTGGATTATGATAAAACAATATTAAGACCAAACAATGTGCCAGTGAACGAAACATGTTCAGATCGTTGCAGGCTAAAGTTAAAACATCACTGTATTATATTCTCGTCTCTCTGACTAGAATGATTTGAAATTTAGACATGAAGATGGAAGGTATTAATAGTAATACGAGATATTAATTAATAATTGATGAGGAATAATAATAGTAATAAAAATAGCAATATTGCGTTCTAGACAAAATGCCGACTTTTTTTCTCTGGATACAGCACACCAATACCACATTGTTTACAACCTGTTCATTCCTCCTTTGAAACTAAGTGTTCCGTTCAAGTAAAGTTTATTATTCGGAGATGACTACATTAATGAAAAGCAAATTAAGGATTTCTGACAGAAAAAAACCACATTACTTTTATTCAAGAGAGGCTGAGAGCCAGCGGTGGCAGAACACTTTCGAAAGTGGGGGTTTGAGTATACATAGGTCAGCTTTTTTTGGGAGAATTTACATTCTGTCTTCAGTTTTACTCCCGCTTAGACTGAAACATAATAACATGCATCAAACTTATATGCACGCCTGTTTTCAACACTGCAGACAATGGTAACCTTCAACATGAAACTAGTCTATTTCAAGAAGTATAGATGAATAGCATGGCGCATCTATGTTGTGAAACTTACAGTGCTGTCAGCTCTCTGAAAGCCTGGAATGTGTCTTTCTGTATGGTGCTGATGTTGCAGTTACTCAGCATGCTATAAAAAGAGAACAATGCCGGAACATTATTGAGACTTTCTTTCAAATTATTTAATGTTCGACAATTAGGTTGAAAACTAACATATAGCTTGAGGTATTTAAAGATATACACTGAAGTCCAAATCTAACTCTTAAATTATGGTATATGTACCACTATAGTCGCATTCAAAATTGCCAGCTGAAATAATGTTGACGTCCAAACTTGTACCAATTTAATCGAGCATTTTGAGGGGACGTCTTACGTCGAAACGTACAACCATCGTGATCAAACTGTCGACCAAAAAAACATGTGGGTCAAAAATATGGGTTCTTCTTCTTCTTCTTCCAAGCTCTGCGCCAACTTCATAATGTCGAAGACTTGGGCACACTGTTGGGTTCGCAACTTGCGGATGGAAGGGGGACTAGCGTAGTTGGAACGGGGGACAGGTTTTGAAATGTAGACAAGGCAACACGCACCGTCGTACCAATCCATACTATGATGTTTTGCACTGTAAAGCTCTTCAGCCAACAAAAATTTGTGGTATGAGTTCGACCTTAATTTTTTCCACTCACCAGCTGGGCTACTGAAACTAGCCCGCAGGTATTTACACTAGCCCGCATGTTTTCTTTTAGAGAGTGTCTCATAAGCAACAATGTGCATATATGTAAAACGTGTATCCTGAGACAATTTTCAGTGTTTTTATTTAACAAACAGATCTAATAATTTAACCCTAAACATTTAATAAAATTAGACACAACTTGATATAGGTTTGCTTTCTGAATTTAATGATTTATATCTTCATGTCCTTTTATCTTTGCCGTATATAGCCCAATAATTTTTCACTCGCCAGCCAATAGTTTGAAAAGCCCGCCGCTGTTTTGACTAGCATTTGGCTAGCGGGCAACCGTTAAAGTCGAACCCTGGGTATATTTAAACTAAGAATAATTGTACTCCACAAAACGATTTAGGAGTTTTTTCCTTTAGCACTCGGTGCCTTTAAGCGCCAATATCACTCATCATTCACGAATACCTCATGCATCAGATGCATGAGTATGACACAGGAACTTCAAAAGGATATCAGAAATAACATGTTCTAACTTATTCATAGCGAACGCTGTTTCCGTTTTTCCACGGAGAGTTGAAATGACAAATTACTCATGAATTATAGATTTGTAAAGAAATGACGCGCCATTTTCGGGACTTGGCTGAAAAAAATATATAAAACAGGATGTACTCACAGGATGCTGAGGGGCGGATTACCGGACGCTGAGAAGTTATCCGCCGACAGGTGATGCAAGGGATTATTAGACATATCCCTGTGGGGAGGATTAAGGAGAGAATTCAGCTGATATTACAAAGAAAACAAAAACTTCCCCATTTTCAGAATCGCACGCGGCTTCTTTGTATACGCAGGAAACCCATTAAATCGGTATGAGCAAGTCAACACTTTCCGGAGTTTTTAAATGTGTAGAGCTCTATATAAGATTTATTAGAGAAGTTATTTTGGCCATTATTAAATTATGCAAGCGCATTTATAGAGTAAATTGCATTGGATAAATTGAGTCCCAGACGTAAATAAGTCACCGTCTTCTCGGTTTGGTTTGAGAGTTTAAGGTATATGGTGTTTTACTGGAGAATGGAACCTTGGGAATTTAAATTATTATTTCACTAACTTACAGCCACATCAATTTGGGAAGGTCTCTGAAGGCGACACCGTGGTTAAGATCTCCAATTTTGTTCTTCTGCAACATTCTGGAAAAAAAATTACAAGTTATTCAGTTTAAAAACAATCACAATGCATTTGAAATAAAGCTTTATTCGGGATCCAATTTAAACAAAAAAAGTGAAGGAAAACAACTGCCTTTTGAACATTTTGTCGATATATGCATGGCGGTCACAATACGAGGGCGCGGTTTGGTCTGGGTAAATACAAAAAGTGTTTACCCAAAGCAAATAGCACCCCCTATTGTGTCCGCAATCTCTCAAAATGGCCAATAACCACTGCGGATCTCTATACGAAACGACAGAGTCTCGGTAAAAAAATAATAAATCAATGTGGGTTGCTTTGAAGTGGGCCATTCGCTGTACTCTTGACCGTCTCAGACGGCCTAAGGACTACTGTGATGACGTCAAGAGCGCGAGTGACCTTGTTGGTGAATCGTCATTGAAATGCCGGTTGTTTCCACAGGCGATTATTATGCGTCGTGTGCCAAGGAAAAGTATAATGTCCCAGGTACGCAAAAAAACAACAACACTTTTGGAGATAATCGAGTTGAAAGGTTTTGTGCTCTCATTTCTTAATTAAAAATCATAAGGCTGAAACGGTTGACTCATGAAATTCGTTAATAATTGAAATAATGTGGTGCATTTTTGTTTCAAAGTATTTTTATTTACGTTTGTATGCTAACGACCTTATACCGGGAACTCCCCCTGTCACGTGCGCTTAAGCGGCTTGTTAAATCACAACATCCTTTTGCCGGGAATAAACTTTCATTTTGCGTACCCACTTCAGTGGGACGTTAGCGCACTTGAACATATTTTGTTACATTAGTATTACGCACTAACGTCCTCAGTTGCCGGGGGAAGATATTGAAAAATCTTCCGTCTTTTGTATACTGTTAATTACGTCAGAATGACGTAGCCTCTTGAGACAAAATTTGTATCAAATGAAAAATATTTCCATGCACTATCGATTACCCAAAGAAAATCCAAAGTTGACACTTTGACCCATTTTTGCCCAAACGATTCAATTAGCAGATCTACGGCCCCAAACGTACGTTCTATGAATCAATTCTTATGGCCAAAACGTCAGATGATATGATACCTGCATTGCACAGGGTAATGAATTTGCAACGCTAAATTCATCCAAAGAACAACAGATGCAAAATTTTTGTTTTGAACTGCGATGCAAAAAATACTATCGCAATCTATTTTCGAGTACCTTTCTTTCAACTCCTCACGGACTGTTTTCGGCAAATTACCAAAAACATTACGTGAAAGAATGTCTCTCCGATGTTTTGATCGCTGTAAATGATTGACAGCGAGTTTTAAATTCTATTGAATTCATAGCTCGAAAAATAAGAACATTTTCACCTACATTCTTTTGCTCCAACAAGTATTGCTAAAAAAATACATCTTGTAACTAGAAAGCTCTCAGAGAGCGCACACCTCCGCCAAGGTTAAATAATTTCCCGCCATTACACACAGCACCAATGCGCAAATGTGGTTTCTAAAACAAATCCTCAAACTCAAACATTTTGTAGTTTACATGTACATGCCTGTGTTGGTCTACCTTTCCACTCCCCATCACATAAAATGGTATAATCCATTGACCTGTGTGATTAGATTAGGTGGGCGATAATGCATACAGGGTCACCTGGTCAGTGCCACGCACACGGGTAACAAAGGGTGAAAGCTTTCCATATGATGGGTGAAAAATCCGTTAAAACGAATCCTGCATCCAGACGCCGAGCCGGATCTCTTCCAAAATCTAATCGATTTGTACTTGCCCCAAGGACCACCCCTAAACCAATTTTTATGAAAATCCGTTCATAACTTTTTGAGCCTATGCCGGTGAAAACATAACCTCCTTGGCGGAGGTAATGAATGAATAATTTTGATAATCATGTCATGTTCTGAAATCCAGAATGTGCAAGCGTGTAATGCACTATGCAAATGCATTATCCCAAGAAATAAACCATTTTAAAGCAGATATACACAATCCCCTCCAGGGCAAACGTTTACTCATGTTTTCTTAGGTTCACCTTCCTTTCTCCAGCGATCAACATAAAACCACATTAAAAAGGTATAACAGTAAAAGAGGACGATTTTTTTTCTCTTCGAAATCCATGATGCACCTGCCTACATCCCCAGTTGGGCTTTTGTCACGGACAGCCGATAGCAGCGCTTTGATGCCGTAAATGCCAGCGATATATTTCACCCTATCACAGTTAAAGCTCCAAGTGATCACTAGCGGTTTCTTCTTTAAGTGAGCGATAGATCATCGCGTCGTTCCATCAGAGGACGGCGATACTTCAACGCCCCTGTACACTGACTGACCGGCGACTCCAATTTTGACCGTAATATCGCTTAGAAGCAAAGCCAGATGTTATTTCACGCAGCAAGCAATAAACCATCGGATGGCTGGATTTCACTGTGGTGAAAACAAACCCCGTTTGTGCGATCAGAAACTGACAATCGCTCTCGAAATGGCGAAAGCAAACCAACAGTGTGCTATTTTTAGGCTTTGCCCTTACAAAATTGGATTGTAAATGAGAACAGATACCGACTGCGTTATCACCGACATAATTATATTACTTTTCTGGGGCGACCCAGTGAGTGCTACATGCCTCGACATGAGCAATACTGGTTGTCCATATAATGAAAGTCAGTGGTCAAGTATTTTACTATCAAAGGGAATAAATGTGTGCTTGGCCGGTTTAAAACACTCTGTTTAAGACTGGTTGAAGTCTGAATGCTGATAATTATTCGGCTCGGATAATTATCCGCATCGAGGTTACATGTTACTTAGGCCAGCACTCATGAGATCGTTAAGTTTGATTTACAAATTCTCCTTACTTTTGCCGGACGAGAGCCATGGCGCTGGCCAAGATGGCAAAACGGAATTCATTTCTTGAAAGTCTACAGCAACACCTCTAGCTGTTGTGAAAACGATCACGTCAGATCGCAAGAAAATCTAGCCGCGATCACACCCACAATTAGGATCCGAGGTAAACGCGATATAGCAATGTAAACAATCCTCACAGATGATATTTTGAATCCCGATACAGCAATCTTTGACAGATAATCCTCTGAAATCAAGACCATTTTTACCAATTGGGATGATTTTTAAGTATTGATAGCAGTCCTTGCGTTCGCTCGGAAGCCCACTGCGCCCACGTATATCGTTAGTGTTCATATAAAAGCTATAGGTGAATGACCAGCAGGATTCAGTGAGTTGCAAGAAGTGATCAACTTATTAGTAAGAAAATCACTCAAGTCTAAATGTTAACTTACAGCCAGTATACTTTGTGCAGCCCTTCGAAGACATCCTCGTCCAAAGTCTCGATTTCATTCTCATTCAGGAACCTGAAGTTAAGAACGCGGTAAAAAGTACCAAAACAAATTGCAAGCCTACAGTGTACAATTAATACACATTCAGTGATGTGCACATTGAACCAAACTTAACGGGTTAATGTTTTTCATTTCAACTATTTGACAGTTTACTTCTTTTGTGTATTTTTTTCTGTTGTGTATTTTGTTTTGTACAGGAACCACGGTTCAATTTAGTGATTGCGTAGCTACAGGGTTGTGCAAAAAGAATGAAACCCACTTTTGACGGGAATTTCAACCTCGAACTTGCTTAATTTATTTGAAATGTTTTTGTTGTTGTTGTTATAATGTAGTGAAGTACGGCTCTTCAACCATAGTCCTACGTGCATGGTGACAACATCTTTATAAAAAATCGCAATATCAGTGTTATCATGCAAATTTGAATACAAGTCAGCAAAATCACTCAAATCAAGCTCCAGAGCTTAGTCAAGCGGATGGAATAAAGCCGTTCGTGGACAAACAGGTTTGGCACCAACTACCATATCTAGAGACAAAATACGCATTTTCAACCATATTTTCGTCACTTAATAAAGATCAATATTTAACACCAATAAATTGAATTTTTGAAATATGCTAAAAAAATAGGTGAAAATTGCTGTCAAAGGTGGGCTTCCTTCTTCTTGCACCGCCCTGTGGAAAGGGGTCGCCCTTGCCCTTGCCTCAAAAGGAAAAGAATTTGCACTACTTTGGTCATGATGAACTCAAAGTCATGACCCCGAGGGTGAGGAGAACAGGAACAAAAAGTCTCATTACTCTTTATCTCGAAAAAGCAATAGGGCGAGTCTAGGAATGCAGTTATCACGGCTGCAATAACAGTACGTCCTATTTAAAATCAGGTCATTACAAACGAGGTGACGTATGGTGTGAAAATATACCTTTTTATTCCTAACCCTGACTTTATTCCTACTCTGACAGTTTTAAATGGCAAAAGACTGGGGCGTCTGCCTTCCTGAAATGCATACAATGTACCATGCGTGCTTTAAAAAAGCACTATGCAACAAGGTATATGACAAAAATACACTGTTTTGATACAAACTCTATCGTATTTGAAAACATCCAGAAAATGTTGATTAGAATTCAAAACAGAGTTTGGAGTAAAACAAAGCGAGGGAATTCTTAAGATAGAACGGTACCTAAAAAAATATTGAAACTAAACTTATTTTTCTTGACCTTTTGACGTTTTGATAAGTCAGAAAACGATTGGTTGAAACATAGTATGTCTCATAAAGAACCGGGGTTCATCTTGATTTGGCTCTTCACATACGCGAAATTCATTGCTCTCACAACTTGTCTGTCATAGTTAGAGTTCGTAAGGCGACAGTTCGTATATTAGGATGGCAACGAAATAAGTGGAAGAAAAGAAACCAAAAGTTAGCGATAGGGATGTTTTGGTATGTACCCATTACCACGCCTTTAAAGGCGTTTGCCTAGTATTTATATTCTCGCACAATTTTTTGCTTTTTCGTATAATAAAGTTACACGGGCGAAACAAAATTGAAAGTATTAGTATCCTAAAACCACCGCTGTCCTGATCTAGTCAAAAAAATTTGGGATTTTTCTTTCGAGAGTTGTTCAAGATGCTTTTCAGTACTCATTTGTTGTTTACAGCGTAACTTTTGAATGTGGTTGTGGCATTGAAAATGGGATTTTTATAAAAGAAAACTAAAAACCTTAATAAAAAAATATCAAAACGTTGGATAACGTTGTTGAGTACTGTAATGATTCAACGACTGCGATTTATTTCATTCTGGAGGGGGGGGGGGGGGGGTCTCAAGGGTGGTCTCATAAAAATTCCCGTCTGGAATTTTCTAGACACATTAAATTGTCGTTAAGTTTCACTCTCGGCTTATCGGTGAGAATGTTCTCACTGCGAGTGTGATTGGCCCCTCTCTGCCAAATATTTCGACCCGGTTTCTTCCCACGCCAGAACTTCAAATGCCTTGGTAGACACTTTGCAGGCGTATTGCACGCTTGTAATCAAATCCTTGTTTATCATGACAAATATAACTGTTCGATAAAACAAATAGGTAAAACATAGCGCTCAGGTTTGTTATCATCACGACGACAAAAAAAAATGCATTATTCCAAAGAATTTGATTACTGTGTTATTTTTTTTGCTGTAGTTGTAATTTCTCAAACTGTTCTTTTCGCTGAATGCGAGTGAACTTCAGTGAATTCACATGCTGGGGAAAACTGTCATGTACATATTGAGAAACCGTCAACATAACATTTCTTTCGGTGGTTTTTTTTTTTGGTCATCTAGAATTCGATTGTACTTACAGCCACGTGAGGTTCTGCAGAAAGCGGAATGTCCCAGGAGTTATTGTAGAAATTCTGTTCGTAGACAGGTACCTGATATTTATACATGAAAAAAAGTTTGACGAGAAAAAGAAAGGATTTGTATTCGTTTCAAGCCCACAGCCAGTGAAGCACAACACAACACAACGCATCGCAACGCAACGCAACACAACGAAACGCAACACAACACAACACAACACAACAAAACACAATACAACACAACAAAACACAACAAAACACAATACAACACAACAAAACACAGCACAATACAACACAACACAACGCAACGCAACGCAACACAACACAACACAACACAACAAAATAAAAGAAACTAAAACTACCGGTTATAACCCCCCAAAACAAAACAAAACAAAACCAAACACCAAAAAACAAAACAAAAAACCCTTAAACTGCACCATGGGCAACATGACTCTTGAACTTTAATTCTCCATTCGATTTCCAATGTTACTTGTCAAACTCAGAGAATCAAGAACATGCATGGCGAAAATAAAGAGTGGAACCGGCAGGTTTAACGCAAATTCGTCCCGCTGAAATGAAATGTATATGCGGTCAGACAGAAAACACACCATTTAAGCTAGTTGAAAAACATTGTTTCAAGAGTAACATAATCCCTGTTCGAACCAAAGTGTGAGTAAGTCTTGTTCTGGTTATTACTTACAGTTTGTCGAGATCCGTCAGACCTCGAAAGACGTCCCGCGGCAACTCCCGGATCCCGTTCTGCATTAGATTCCTAATGAAGAGGAAATTGAAGACACGTAATGCATCAAACACGAGTCACGCTGAAACTGAAGAGACCTTAACTATATTGTTTTCGTGAAACAAGTCGTGCTTGTCCATTGTGACAACACCAGATATCGATATGTATAGTATTTCAATGACCTGGTCCTCACTCATGACACGGTTATTTCACTAGTAGAACAAGGACGTTCAATTCAAAAATTAAAACAATAATTACAAGACAAGGTCCGAACATCATCAGTAGCTAAGCAAATGTAATCAAGTCCGCAGACAGAAACTATTACGTAATTCAGACAGTTTGGGCGATCTGACAACTCGGTAGTACGCTAGATAGTGATGGGATTGTGCCTTTGATGATACAAGCATGGCATTTGGCACAGTCAGAGCATGTCATGAGAAAGATATTTGGCTATAGGACCACCGGAGATTTGTCCTTTCATATCCTAGATTTTGAAAGGGCTACATGCAGAATTTCACTAAAACAAAAAGTCTCAATGTTTGGGTTTCGTTTTTTTAATCACCCTGTACGATAGCAAGATTAGGTACATATTTACATTGTATATCACATGTACACTATACAGTCCACTTACAGCGATCCCAGCTTGGTGTATCTTTCGAAGGCACCGTCTTCCAAGTGCACCATGTTACCGTTCAAGTTTCTGTGGCGACGAGACAATTTCATAGTTACTATTGCACGAATGAACAGCGAATCATGTAAAACTATTTTTTGGCAAATACAAAAACTTAAAAAAAAAGAAAAAAAAAACAATTTTAATGAAAACAAAAGACCAAAATCAAACCAAAAAGAAGTCCGATTTCGTTCCTTCTACTCCGGGAAGGAGAGATTAACGTAATTATTCAAATTTAACATTGCGCGGACTCCGTTATGGCTCGCCTAAAAGTTATTACAATGATTGAATTTCCCTTTTTTCGTTCCACGACTCGTGAATCCACCGAGTGTTAGATTTCATCCTCTTATCACGCTGATATTTAACAACATTTCTGGACAAAAAATGCCTTAAGCTTTGGAACTAAATATTCCCATGATCCCTTGTTTACGACGGTACAAAACAAGACTGTTTATGAGTTGATCGACCTCGGGCGCTTGGTACACGTGCGATACGTGACTGCAACTCCGGTATGCTGGATCAAGCATTTTAGGTCAATTGCATAAGGCGAAAATATTGCCACGCCATTTCAAGTGCTAAATTATTGACTAAGTAACAGTTACACGTATTGAACTCTATACAAATGTCCCCTTCCACGGTGATAAACACAGAGACGCGAAGGACCTTTTGGGCGCCACCTTCAATTGCGCGATTTTGCGGACCAAGCGCGATACGTAATTATGTATACGCCCTGTGTACATAATACAGACTCCAAAGTTTGACATTAGGATTAAATCTTGCTTCTGCACTGGTCCCATGTCCTCAGATGTAAGAACGTCAATGAAGGTGCTGTTAACCAATCCATCTGCCCAGATTTCCAGCTAAAACGCGAACAAGCGCGATACAAATGCCCTTCCATAGGGGTAAAGCGCCCTCTCTTGGTCACGCACAGAGTCTATACGCAAACGATGGATCTCTCAAGCGTTCTTGACTATACATAGGGCTACCTGTTCTCTTTCTCAGAAAAATATATTCTGTGCTATACATGCAGCAACGTTAAATGTAAGATCGACCTTAATCTATATAATGCCGAAGCCAATTCAATAAAATGATCCCCAGATGAAGGTTTTTTTCTTCTCGAGATAACGTCTCACTCTTCTCGGTCCTACCCGCAAAGCTTCTATAATTACACGCAGGTGTACTTTCCTAAGCATTCGTCGGTTACAGAGAAAACGTAAAGGGTCAGTGCCGCACGACTAAATCCCCACATCGCAGCACTTCAAGGAATTGGGTGAGGTCTGGTTTTTCACTGAGCTCTGTAGGGTTTTCATTCCATCAAGCTGAATAAAAGGGCCGCCGGCTATAAGAAGGGGGATTGAAATAAGGTGTAATGATGACTGACACTCGATCGTGCAGGGGTAATTTTATTACGAAGCTGAACGAAAACTACACCCGTCGCATGATTGTGTGGGATAATGCGATCTCTGAGGGCAGCTCATTCAAAACAGGAGAAAAGAAATTAGCCCCTAATGTTGTTACATGCACTGCGAAGAGAGACGCAGACACATATAGGCTAGTTACAATAACATATATCTATTCTTGTGGGATATCACGAGATCTCGCGAGATACCATGGCGACAACCGCGAGAGACCGCGACTGGCCCCTGCAGAGATTTCGCGGTAATTACAGGAAGTCGTGTCGATTGGGAAAGCTAAGGCGATTTTTTCGTTCACTTTGATTGGAACACTCTGCCGCCATTATTAACCATCTGTTCAGGATTGCTACATCGCTGCAGATGACAACTGCGTTCAACAAATCATATCTAGGCTTGTTTTGAGGGTGTGTGTTTTTAGGTAAGCATGAAAAATATTGGCGTCACAGAACTACTCTTCGGATGTGAGTCAGTTGGGACACAAACGCCTATAAAAATAGGCCTGAAGCATTGTTGACGTCCCGCTTTCTTTACATGTGCGCTTTCCTGTACGAGCCAGGTGGGGGCCAAGCCAAGCTGCCAAAAAAAAGCGTACATGTAAGCAAAGTGTGACGTCATTATGACGCGGTCTTATATTGCTCGTGACTCCCACTCCGACTCCGACTCTGACTCGAGACCGACTCGGGTCCCATTTTCCGTGAATCGGACTCGGACTCGAGTCACGACGACAAGCCGCGTCATATTAGAGGGCATCAACAATACATGCATTTCCAATTCATTAAATCAGAGAAAAGCTGTGAAAAACATTATATCCAATATACAGTTAGGGATATTAAATGTGACTCGTGACTGCGACTCGGATTCGACCTTTGTGACTCGTGACTCGGACTCGACCTGCATGACTCGGGACTTGGACTCGGACTCGATGTTTGGTTACTCAAATACAAGTCTGTTATGACGTCGTTATGTCTTTGGTCTATTGTTTTTAAATCGCAATTAGTTTGAGTACCGTAATTTTAAATTGATCGGATATGCAAACTTGCGTCGCAATGCAATGATGCCCATGTTATGCATTTGAATGCACCCAAGCCCAATACAGATTGTTTTTTTTCCTGCCTTTTGAACCAAATTGGATGGTGCCTATATATGAGTAAACCATTGCTGCAATTTGGACAGCTTGCTGGATATTTGAATCCCCCCTGAAGGGAACATTTGTATATAAAAACATTTTGGCTGAATCCTTTGGCCATAAAATTATTTGAAAGATTGGGCTTTTACGTCGAAGTAATTTGGACGAGATTAAAAGCTGCGCTTCGCATGACATGTTTTTTTTCTTTCAGTGCACGCGCACGGCAAAGCTCTGAAACGGCTCATGCTTAGGCTAGCCGAGAGAGCGGGGACGGTTGCCCGTTCTTGATCCCCTGAACCCATGTTCGCTTGATGAAATGAGATTATTTTCGATCGCATGGGGAAATTGACGGATCTCTCCACCAGATTGACCGATTGCGAACCGAGGCAAATCAAGTGTGGTGCCGGTCCCTCCTCGGGAGGTTTTTTTTCCACAAACACCTGTCGTTAGCTTGTCGCTCGCTCCCGGGGTCTGGGGCGGTTTAATCTCGGTGCGAGCAGAACCCGTTCGCCGCGATCTCGCGGACTTTCAACGGAACCTATAATGATATTCTGCATTGGAACCTAATGATATTCGCTACTCAATGGGTTCATGTTGCGAAGTTGCGGGGAAGGGGTAGTAAAACCCTTCTCCCATGAGCCCTTTCCCTAGTCTATGTAATAGATTACATTTGAGCAGATTCGCTGATTACGCAAGACGGCAGCATCTTGACAGCTATATTTTGACCAATCAGCGGGCGCTTTCTATATCAGGTTTTCGGACATTCACCCGTTGTCGCGTAATAGACATGGATAAAAAAAACCGTGTCACGCGCTCTGTATTATGTTACGCGATATGCGCCCGGCTGTTGTTTTATTACAAAACACTGCATTCAAATTGACCAATCAAACCATTAGTTTGGGAACGAAATGACGTCAAGATTTAGTAAAGTCGACTCCGATTGGCTGAGGCGCGACTCCCATAAATCTGCATGCTTTGACACATCAGACGTTAACCAGTATACTTGGCTTCGTGAATAACGGGTGATACTCGGACTACCCTTCCCCCTCCTCCAGAATAAAAATAGGGAAAAAGGGCAATACACGAAAATGGAGTTGAATTTCTTTTGGATTAGCGGAGACGAATACGAAGAAGAAAAAGAAACAATGAGAACCATAACAATGCTTTTGTGCTTCAGACTTCGAAAACCTAATATTTAAAGACGAAAATATCGGTACGGGTGCAACAGACGTCGCCATGAACATATTTATGGACAGCATTTTCTGAAGTCATTTGATGTTCAAACCTTAGTTATATTAACGATCGATGGCCAGAAACACAAGAAAGAATTGTGATACATTTACACGTGTCGATAGGTCTACTTCAACCATTAACACGGCTTATTTAGTTCCGTGTAAAAGGAACAAATTGCGGAATATTGTTCGTCAAAGGTTTTGTTATGTTATGTAGGCCTATACGCTTTTTGACCGTCTGATCACACCTGATGCTAATGACGAGTGTCCTTGCCCCTTCCGAGTGTTGGAAAAACGAAGACGTAATTTGAACAGCGTGAAAATCAGCCCACTAGCTGGCGAATCAACTCCACGGCATGTCTTCTCACCAGACGTCCTCAAACCAATGCATAAATTACCTCTGTACTTCAACCGAAAGACTGATAATCCTTCAGTCTCCGGAATTAGCGAACACAAATAGGCCTACACGGTATTATTTGTTTTTGAAAGTCAAAAATTCGCTTGCAGAGAGAAAACTCGTCAGTGCAGCCAATTTGCTTAATGGCCATCGATAGATTATTCGGTTTTGTTATTAACATGTAGATTAATGTTTGTACAGTACAACAACATTAAAAAAACCGTGAATGTGATTTACAAAAAAACGTTGATTCACTTAGAAAAAAATAACATAATAATCACATAACGATCTCGCATTTGTTTTCATATACATTGCCGAAACTATGTTTAATTGTGGTGAAAATTTCCGTATTAATTTGATACAGTACAGATTAGAAAAATAATGAAATATGAAGAGGTTTCCTGATTCGTGGGACCTCTTCCGGCCTCCGTACTTTTAGCTTTGTAAAACTTGGCAGCTGTTCAAGACGTATATGCCTTTTTGCATGGCAACGCATAACTTGCCTTACCAAAACTATTATGGTCCCGCTGCCACGCCAATTTGCAAGAAAACATCGCACCAGAATTCGAAACTTAGGCTAGTTTGATTACGTCTTAAATGTAAGAACCATTATATTTTTTCCCCATTTAGAATGATTTTCTCCCATTATTTTCTGATACCACTTTTCTCGATGCTCTGGCGATGTGGTCACAAACATTACTTTGACGCCAAGGAATTTTTACGAAATTTTGGCTTCGTCTCCAGCCTCGGCTTCATCTCCGATTTCAGAATCATTCAGAAGACCAAATGGTAACACTCTTACCTACGTCCTCATACTATAGATCCCCCCCAGTTAATAGTCCCACAATGAGCCTGACTCATCTTCTAGTCTTGTATCTCCCGAAGCCCAAGTCCAAGATAAAACCGATGTTTCAAAAACACTCAAGAGTAACCGCAGAAGGCTGGGTGAAAATAATAAGAAATCCAAGAGCTCAAAATATTCTTGCAGCTATACACACATGCGGCAGGTTGATAAGAAGATGCTAAAAATATATCCAATCTTTGAGGAATTTCTATTTCAAGCAAACAAGAGGAGATAATACTCACAAGCGCGTCAGGTTTGCCGAGACGCTCTGCGGTACCTGGGTCAAATTGACCTGGATGCACTTCAATTCGGTCTCCTCGAAACACACGCAGACGTCAGGGAACCCGTACAGACCTGATCAAAAAAGACGTAGGGCAAAAAATCATGGGACTTATCTCCAACTCTCTCAAAATAAGTTTATGATAAATATATGGGTTGGGTGTGTGAAATTCGTGCTCAGTTTAATATGGAATTGTTTTATAAAAAAAGTGCGAGTGTGAACAAAAAGCTCTGGCCGTGTTGCAAGTAGCTTGCATGAAAGACTTGCATGAAATCGATCAAAATGATCCATGCCAGAGCTGACAATGCGACGCCGAAAAAATGCAACGCCGATGGCACATATGAAACACCATAATTTTGGTCAATTTTCCGGGACAGACAGACCGACCACCAAGTGAAATATAGAAGCTCCGCCAGAGCTTAACAATAGGAAGTGGTTAGAGAAACCTCTGAAATCTCCTGTCGAGAAGTCCCCCTTAGGAGAATGAAAATAGGCATCATGAAATCCCTTAGGAAGAAAGAAAATAGTTATCAGAAACCACTCAGCTGGTAGAAATAGGTAGTGGCAATCGGTACTCCCTAGGAGGATAACAAATGTGAGTGCACAATAAGCTCTGGCCGTGTTGCAAGAAGTCTTGCATGACAGTCTTGCATGAAATCGATCAAAATGATCCCTGCCAGATCTTAAAATGAAATCCATCACATTGATCCCTGCCAGAGCTTAAAAATACGACCCCGTAAAAATGCGACGTCAAGGGCACATATGGAACACCATAATTTTGGTCAATTTTCCGGGGACAGACAGACAGACAGGCAGACAGACGACGGACCGACCAACCACCAAGTGACATATAGAAGCTACTGCCAGAGCTTAAAAAGACAGCCAACGGGTTTTTCCAAACTCACCACACTCCTGGTTGATCTGCCAATCTAGGTCCACTGGGACGGGGTTCTGTTCGTCGAAGGTTTTAATCCAGCCCTCGTTATGTTCTGAAAGATATATGCCAATGGTCATGATTACATGTCACTGTTTAGGCCTATATAATTATTTAATTAAATGTGCAGAAGATTCTTTAAGATGTTTCAAAATACAATCTCTGTGTTTTTCGTCTTTGTTGGAACCTGCCAAAAAAACACCCCCAGAATCAATCTTTATACGTTGCGGTATGCGCGGAAGGCTTTTTGAGGGATTTCACGTCATTGCAGATAATACATACCCACAGCAATTCAATGAATGGATGTTTCAAAACAGGGCATTTTGGCGGTAAAATCAACATTATAGTTAAGAACCATTTGAAGTCAGAAAAGTAAACATTATCTTATTGGTCTCTGGTAAGGTCACATGTTTACACATAAACAAGGTATGACTTGCTTTACATGTGTACCCACAAAATTGATGTTTTAAAGCCTGGTATTTGATGTTCAAACCGACACTACACTGTACTAAACTACCATTTGAATTCAGAAAGGTTACCATTATTGTGTGTACACAATAATTCAATTTGATTTCTATGTACACCAACAAGTTCAACTTGCTTTACATGTATATCCACAAGTTCAATTTGCTTTACATGTACATCCACAAGTTCAATTTGCTTTACATGTACATCCACAAGTTCAATTTGCTTTACATGTACATCCACAAGTTCAATTTGCTTTACATGTACATCCACAAGCTCAATTTGCTTTATATGTACATCCACAAGTTCAAGTTGCTTTACATGTACATCCAAAAGTTCAATTAGCTTTACATGTACATCCACAAGTTCAATTTGCTTTATATGTACATCCACAAATTCAATTTGCTTTACATGTACATACACAAGTGCAATTTGCTTTACATGTACACCCACAAAGATTCAAGAAATAGATGTTTCAAAACCGAGAATTTGGCGTACGAATCAGGAGTAAGCAAGAACCATTTGAAATTAAAAATATAAAAATTGATAGAATTTGTCATTGCAAGGCTTAACATTCATGTTTGCTCAGAAAGAAGCCAATAATATTGTGACACACTCTATAAAAATATCAGATTTGATTTAAAAGGAGTGAAACTGACAAACAATATTACAGCCCAAAAAATGCTGTAAATAGGAAACTAATATGATATGATTCAAATGTGTTTTAGACAGTGAGAAAAATCGGCCAGAATTGTGACTATTTCTTTTTAAAGACAAATAGAGTATCTAAAAATAATCCCAATCACCCGATACTTGCTGTATACAACCGTGTTTATGCAACCAAATGTTTGTAACGATCTGGAGACAGGTGGGTTTGAAGGAACAAATAGGAAGTCCTGACAAAGCAGTTGATCTCCGCGAGTGTCAGGCCGATGCCGAGCGGAGATTCCTCTTAAGCCCGGCCCACCTGGCCCCGGCTTCCGCCGCCAGGCCACTCGCTGAAATCATGCCTTCCTGCCTTCGCCATTATTCAGACGGAATCAATATTTCTTAAACGGGGTGTCAAAATGCCGTATTATTTTCTTTCCAAAATGAGTGCTGTGAAAATATTCTATCGGAGGTATCGGTTCTCTCAAGACTCCGTCGACTGCCCAGCCGGCCGTGAGAGATTTCCTTTCCAAGTGTTGAAGGTTATTGCTTGAAATAAACCATTGTGAGGTGATTTTGTTTTTTAATTTTAAAATTAGATTTAGTTTTCAATTGGTGATCCAAAAGTGAGGATACAGCCCCTAAACACTTACTAGAATTCTTGATGTGAACATTTACCAAGAATTCTTGGTGTTAACACAATGAAGGACCAAACATCAAAGCCTTTTACTCATGTTTCTTGACGAAAACAGTTAAATTTCACCCCCCTTTTTTTTTTTTTTTTTACATTCGTTTAATGTTCAAAGTTCGACAAGATTTTAGACGGTTCTCCACGTTTATAACTTATTCTGTTGTTATCCCTCAACCTAATGAACGAAATGTGTTGTTGGTTACGAACTTTCACCGAGAAACCAAGCCGCTAAATCGGTCAAGATAGTTACAAATTCGTGTAGTTTTATGCGTTGAGTTGCAGGACGTTTGATCGAATCTCAATACTTCAAATGTATACTTAACATGAAAACAATGTTTAAGACGACCAGATACAATGCAGAGAGGGTTCCTTTAAACAGTTTAATAACTGGTTTTTTTTCAGGACGGCATGCCCTTCAAGCCTTTAAAATAGTACAGTGAACTGGCAACAAAGCCAGGCCTTTAGAGTAATTACATGTAAACCTAACGCCAGAAATGCCTCCTCTCCCAATCACTCATTCATAATAGCGAACATAATACACGAGCCCATGTTTGATATTTCCATTTCCGCACATACACACGCAGAATTTGTCATATCGTCCCAAAATAATACACCCCAACAAATCAGGAGCATTAAATTGTTCCCGACCGCTCCCGGGTTGTACCACAGCTGAATGTGAGCAAAATGCTACACAAATAGACACTGGAAGCTTGGGAAAATAGCTCGAAGCTTTCGTCGTACGTTTGACAGAAACCATATTGCGGACTCTTCTTTTGTGTGTGTGTTCTGTTAGCGCTAGGCTTTAATCAAATGTAGCGTTAGTGAAGATGCAATCTCTCTCTCTGTCTGTAAGAAACAATGAAATAGTGGTCGATGCTTACAGTAATAGAAGAGCATTTGGTACCATCACGACAATGACGTTCAAGTTTCCAATTTTGAGGACACTGAATCTGATTTTCGATCACTCAGAAACAAATTGCACTTTCTAATTTATCAGGTCTCTGTTCTTTTGGTGTGTCAAATGCATCCATTATCAGCTATAAATAGAATAATTTTGAACTTGCTTTGGAATCTCGACTCCACGAAGTAAGGTCACGTGATATCGTTCCAGACACAATCAATAATTCAGCTCTTCTGAGTTATGAGCACGTCCAACATATCGAAAGGTTTACCACTTGACTGGAACAGTGTTCGGTGCTTATGCTTTTAGGAATTGCATAAATATCTCATTGCTCTTTACTCGTGCGACCGAACTCTCATTTTGTGGGGGTGTGCCACAGTACGTTACTTTTCAGGCAAACTTCAAATGGACCTGTCGGGCAAATTGGTACTGCCATCAAATTTCTGGTTTATTATAGGGAACTTGTTGGTGACAAGAGACGTGCTCTTATTTCGCAGTCAGTCTATTTCAAAGGTGGTTGTAAATGTGCCCCGATGTCGTCAAACCGAAATGATTTGGGCTCGGACAGCCAGCACACGTCTAGAACCGATGACGCTCTCTAGCTGGGCTTGATATCCGCACCGACATTCAATCAATCACTGACAGCTAATGTTGCCTTGCGAAACCCGCACAGCGCTTTTATTAAAAGCTGCGAATTGCTCATCATGTCGCCGTCGGAATCGGCTGACCTTTAACCAAAAAAAAAGAAAAAAAAAAGCACCGGCACGTGCTATCACCATCACATTCGTTTTTTTCTTCCATTGTTTTTTTGCTCATTTCCTTTGCTCTTGAAATTGGCCTATCTGAATCTCACTTCCTGAACGTAAAAATGCCGCCGTAGTTTTAAGACCAACAACACTACATCTAAACAGAACACTTTAAATATGAAACGTCGGCAGACAGGTGGGCTCTAAACCAACAATAGATCACGTGTTTCAATGCTTAATTTACATGATATAGATCATTAATTGAGCAACCTCTGAGTGCAATACCACGTCATGGCGTCATTTTTTTTCTCAAAAGAACTCCGGAGTTCCAATAATCTGCAGATTGAGTCGCATAATTTTATCAAAATTTAAAGGGCTAGTGCCGGTGAAAGTAATTAACTTAAACAGTGCTCATTATCGCCGTTTTGTATGAGTTTTTCTTTTTCTTTCGGGGGAGAGGGTTGCTTTAATACCAGGATAACTCTGAGTTGGAGTGATGAAATCAATCAAACATTAGCTGTGATAGTTACAATGTATCACCAGACGGTGTTGTTTTTTAAAGTCACAACTGGCATTCATTTTTAAAGGGATTAGCTACAAATCCAATAGTGATTAGGTTAATCCTCCTGTGATTAACCGTGGCGTTTCACATTATATTTCTTTTCCAACCAATTTATCATTTTGCTTGCGGACTGATTACATACCAAATAGGCAGATGGGGCACTAGCTTTATGGCGTTGTATGTTTCCAAGGGCCAATCGGATACTACAGTACTCAATGTGCATGCGGTTGCGGTGTATACCTGTTCAAATGCTTCTGCATCGTTTAATGAAATGAAAAAGCAACAAAGCCACAGGGATTCGGCATAATTGTTTATTCCCTTACAGGTTCAGACTAAATTTAGGCTGATGTAGACGACGACCGTTTCATGTGAATGTGGCATGACAGTAAAGTTAGGTGTTGTTTCTACATTTGCACATTTATCATCGAAATGGTATCTCAAACATTCTCAATTCAGTTATCAGCTATCGTATCACATATCCCCTCGCGTGGTACCCGAGGGCAAACAGAATATGACATGGAACGGTTGGAACATTGAGACATTTCTCAAGTTTCGCATGTTGTTGTGTTGATCAGGAAACAACTGCTTCTCTCATGACCGAGCTTGCGAATATCGCCATTTCACACTCCACACTCTGTATGCAAACGTCTTGGTACCAAACACTGACTAGTCTGGTCACAGACTCTTGTGCATGATGGATAGAACGGAAGTCGAAGTCAATTTTTTGATAATTTTTTTTTCTTCATCCATGTTACAAAATATTGTACCGGTATTGCTGTCTGTTCTTTCCCAAAAGCCTACTAATTGCCTTGACCGCGGACAAGCCTTGTGAGGAAACAAAACAAATGCGTGAAAAAACTGCCCTGCACTGACCAGCTCTATTCAACAGGCTAAACCAGCAGTGTGGTTGCAAAGGCCGATTTCTAACAATTACGTAATACTTTATTTTAAAATGAAACAACATGCACACAGACATGTTTTGGGGACGTTTTCGAACGATTTCTTCCCGACTTTACGGTCAGCTTTACCAGCACCCAGAATTGACGTTTCGGCATCGATGACGGCGATTTTTTTCACTGACATGAATGAATGTCTTCTTCTGTAATAATTTAACATTTCAATCATACTAAGCATATATTCTGAGAAACACAACGTTTAAAAGGCCATGTTTTTTTTTTGGGGGGGGGTGCATGAATTTCACTGCTCTGTTATAGCGTCCAAGTACGTAATCGGATTAACTTTGTTTAACAAGCCCGACGCAAATTAGGCCTTCGCAACCACACGGCTGAAACCACAAGCAAAAGTGACTCAGTGAGTTGGTGAGGTACAAAGAGGGACTGTAGACTGGCACCTCGAGAACCAGCAACAAAATGCACCGGGGTTTGGTAAGTGTCTTCGGGCCGTGAAGTTCAACTCACCGCACTCGGTCTCGTCCGCGTTGTTGCCGCAGTCGTCCTCACCGTTGCATTGGTATTTCTGGGCGACGCAGTGAGTCAGGTTGCCACACCGGAACTCCCCTTTGGGACAAGTGTACTCTGACGAAAACCCAATCAACTCTGAAAGTAAAAAAAAAAAAAATCAAAAAAAAAAAAAAAATCGGAATTAATTTGATCATGATCTTGAATTTCGAATCAGCAGTGGTTATTCCAGCAAATTGATTCGGTTATTATCGACTTTGACTCTATTTTGCCATCAAATGTGACCGGTACTGCACTGAAGCAAAACGAGGAATGTTCCCCAAAACCTTGTTTCCAGTACTCTGCGCTCGAAATCGAATCATGGGGGGGGGGGGGGAACTTCACAGAAGTTTTGGAAAACCTGACGATTTGTAGCAATACTTAAAGGTACCACAGAAAATCCTACGAGTTGCTCTTAAATGTGATGTAAATGTATATCACAAAGTCAAAGCCAAGGTTATTCCTCATTATGCTATAGCCAGTCACAAACACACATGGAAGACACAAAATGTGAAGAGTTTTTTCTTCTTCAATGGACTTTTTTCAAATGGTACACACACAAAAGTCTATTACAGAAACGAATTTGTGTTATGTCTTGTTATGTAAGCATGTTGTGGCAGACTGAACTCGCATTTTTTTTGGTGGGCAAAGCAAGAAACATGGGGGCGGAAATGGTGGCCGAAGTTCGAAATACCAACCTTCGTATTCAGTTTTGACTGTTGCAGGAATGAACTCATTGTTCCCTGGTTGTGCCACATCATTCCCAGTAACTTTTACACCAGGCAAAAGGAATCGAGATGTGGTTGATTACCAAAGGGGAACATGCAACATAAAAATGGAAAACAACAAAAGTCATACCGTGAAACAAAACATAAACATGTATCACCACATCATTGGCATGAACAGCGGAGCTAATTTTAAACTGAGGTCATGGAATTCAGTATCAAAAATATCCAGTGACTGGCCCAACAGATAAAAATAAACCCATACCTATTTGCGCATTTCTTGTTGATGGAATCACGATCATGTTTCATAAATACCTTGTCCTTTAAAACTATACATGTTTGATATTCAGTACATGTAAATGCATTGAAATCAAGTCGGTGACCGATATGAATTGATTCAAATTGGTTTTGGAAAGACCGACTTTTCTTCGAACTTTTAAATATGTATCACAATATTGTGTTTATAGTCGTTTAAAGTCAGTCCAAATATAGCAAAGCTGTGTTATCTTTCCTGCTATTGTATTATAAGTGCTGTAATAGTTGTTGACACTTAGTGCGCAAAAGGTAGTTTATGGCCAGTCGCAGGGTTTGCACGGAATACGGCTTCGTGCAAAGGTTTTGGCTCTTTCGTACACAAAATATTGGAATAAGTAGTGGCCGGTCTTAAACAAGGTGTTAAGGACCGGTTTTAAAGTCTGGACGCTGATAATGACCAGATCCGAAGACAGTTTATAGTTTTGTTTTCGAATTTCAACACCAACAAATTCTGAAGAATACTTTTTCGTAAACCAGAATTTTTTTGACCCTGTTCAGGGGCCACCTTTGTTGCTGGCCGGTCTTAAACACTTCTGGCCGGTGCTTTATCATCCATTTAAGACCGGCCACGTGACGGGCTCTCAACCAATAGGAATGGGTGAAACTGTCATAGGTATTAATGAATACTACTTTAAAATACTCTCAACATACCAACTGATAAAGGACCTGGCATGATCTAGGGTTATCATTTTGGTATGTGCATTTCCCCCCTTGTGTAGGCATCGCTGAAATTTGTATGGATAAGGCATAATAGCATCCATTTTTCAAGACAATTTATAAACTAAAATGGCGTGATGTGGTTTGGGATGCGGACTTGATACCAACGAGACATTGTGTTAGAGGGAAAATGCATGACTGATACTCGTGTTATTTTTTCTCATCATGACGAACCAATAGGGAACAGGGGCAACTCCAATCTTCAGAGAACAGCCGTCAAACTACAGGTTTTTCTTGGCTTACATTATGCTTCAACTTAAAGGAAATACAATACCTTTCAGGATTGTTAGTGAATGACAGTCTAAAGCGTCCTGTAAAATTGTGGCACCTGGTGTGCTGTCATTTTCAAGACGGTTGGTATTTTTGTATCAATTTTTCCAATACTGCCCCAAATTTACCATATTTAGTGTGTTTGTTTGCAATAGATTGACACACCTACGAAAGGTACAAGCCAGCTAAACTGGTTCCCCTGACCTTACAATTCCCCGACGTCCATAAATTGCTCCGTTTCATCTTAAGTGGGGTCTGGGAACTAGACTACAGGAAAATGATTGTTTTTCTGCTCTTTCCAGCATCTACGAACCCAAACTTCGAACAAATCAATGTGACAATATGTGCAATAAAATACTAGCCCCCCCCCCCCCAATCCATCCATTTCTGAATATAACAGCAAAAGCAAATTTTGTATATTCCCTTTAGATTCGAAGTTTAAAACAGGTCCACCGCCCCAATAAAGCTGACGGTTGAGAAGAATCTTGAACCAGTGAAAAGGTCACAAATTGTGTAAATCCCATTCGAATGGGCGAAAAACCCCAATCTATAAGATCTCTGGTTTGCATGAACGGATTTCCATGGCATGTTCACTGATAATAATTATACAAGAGTATCATTAATATGCTCCATCAAGATGTAATTCTCATGGTAAGTCGTTTTTGAAAAATTTAAGGATATCTGCTTGCACAACTTTTTTTTAATTTTAGGACACCCTGTATTTTTTTTTTTTTTAGTGTACTTTGATCAAATGCCTTCCTTTAATACGGTAACTAGAGCCATGAAGTTCGGCCCTGGATTAGAGTATACAAGGGACGAAACTCACGGGAAACTCCGATAAAAGTGACAGCCAGCACCAGAATGAGAAGCAGTACGAGGCAGAGGACTAGGACCTTGCATTGCCGGGTCCGAAGGCGGTGTAGCATCGACGACGCGGCGCTCCAAACCGACCCCCGGAATCCATCCCCCCGTGAACTCCTGGAAGCCCGCGAGGATCTCGATGTCAGAATGTTGCGCGGTCTCGGAGTCCCGTCACTCCCTGCTCGTATTTTTGTCTGGTGAAACCACAAACAAAATTCAATTTCAGCCTCATTTTGTAGGTGAGAGATGATCTCTAACCAAAAGAAATTGGTAGACTTCCTAAACTAGTGACTTTGTTACTGTGCACCACATTGCATGAGCAGATTGTCAATTCGTGACGAACTTGCCTGATAAAAAATGGTGTCAAAATTGGATTTTGTACACATTTAGTCTACATTTAGTACTGATTTAGACTAAAAAAGCATGAGGTAACTGAAACAAAGGTGTTCACTTTTTTGGTTCCGAACAAGATGAAAGGCAACATGCTTACCTTATTCCCGTCCTCCGCGGGTTCTTTCATCTCCATTTAATTCAAAGCAGGGATCCCAAAGTTAAGGCCCTCGAAAGGAGCAACTCAAAGTTTGATCCTGTTTCTGCCAACAATCGTCAATATGCAGGTGTCACGCGACTGTTTCCGTGTGCAGAAGGGCCGCACAATGATCGTCACGGCGTCACCGGATCAGTGTCTGAAAGCCGAAGGTTTGCCCCTCACGTTGGTGCGCACAGCAGTCACGTGAGTGCGCAGGTCGGTCACGTGATCGGCAGTCTGGCTCTACCTGTGTTGCTCCTATCAACAGAAAATGAAAAAAACATATCTTATGCACTTTTTGAAACATGCTGTCTACATGATTGGCAAAGTTACATCTGCCAAGCACTTTCCAGAACAATGTGTGTGCGAGCTCACATTTGTCCTATAGGCCCAATTCGTCACTGATAGAAGTATCAAAACGTGTAGGCGAAATGGAGGCCAAGAAAAATGGGTACTACAAGTACGGAACCCGGTGCAAGTACACTTGGGAAACAAATACCTAGCACTGAATCTCAAAAATACTGGTGTTATATCTAACGACATGATTGACAATGGCCACCATTAACTAAAAGTTCTGTTCACTTTCAGTCGAAAATATGTAGGAATTGTTCTTAATTTTATCATCATGTAAAGTGTCTTTCATATTGTTGTATCTTCGAAATGTCAGACGATCGAACTGTGCCATACAATACGTAGCTGGCACTTTGATTGGTTTTGTTAGGTGAAGAGGCTGCCTTTTCAGCCAACGCACGACTATTGTCCAGCAGACTTGCACGAACCCTTTACCCGACGCAGTCTCGCACCTGTAATTCCTCGTCTACATGCTGACCTTGTTCGGCTGACACCACTCCAACGAGTCCTTTTTAGGATCCACCGACTCAGATCACTTCAAGTGTCCATTACTGTGGAAATTATTCCCCCACTTTGCCCATCAAAAGCCGTTCGATTTTCGCGAGTCGTTCGCCACTTCCCCTCGCTATGCTCGCAACGTCGTATCATGATGACCCCGGCGCGGGACGGGTTTTCGGTTTCGTCTTATCGGGCGCCGACTTGGGAGCGGTGCCGAGGTCAAGAGACGCGTATTTGAACGTCGCGTTTGCATTAATGAGTTTTTAAACGAGATAACAAGGCCTTCGCGGGCAAGAAATCAATATACTACCCCGGGAACACAGCCCCTCTTCTCCTTGTCGTTCAACAATTCTCGATGTGTTAACCACGAATTTGCCAGTGTAAACGTAGGATTTGTAGAAGACGTATACGGCGACAGGCTTCACCTTGCCACGAAGGCGATTCTTCAAATTTATCTGGATGACCTGGTTAATTGGTAGAAAAATACCGCCGTTACATTTTGAGCCTTTGTCTCTGTTCGAAGCTTCGTTTCGAGACAGTGCAATCACCTCGCATAACATAACGCTCTCATTTTATACTTCGGAAAAAGAAAGCTATTATCACTTCCCCAAACCTTGAATTTTCAGTTCATTGCTCAGAAATTATCTGAGGTAGGTTACCACTAGTCTCTAACCAAATTCCAGATTGAATGATGCAGCTTGACGTAGACCTACCTGATTAAAAAAGTGTCAATTCATCTTACCCACATGGGCAAAAGAGGCTGGCTTAAGTCCAGAATTCCTCACTGTTTTCTCAGATAAACTTGAATACACTTGTCGCGTTGTTCGGACCAGATGATGCGTCCGAATATTAAGGCTCATGTTACTAGGGCGCCATCTTGAGAGGGCTAACATGTACACAAATCTGTACGTCAGATCTTAGTCCCATCGACGCAGCATTACTTTACATGCCCACCGCCTCTTGTGGACTATACATTCTTTTCACACTTTTATTTAGCCCCTGATTTCTCTGGCCATGCACCGCTCATTCGGTAATACAGTGTGATGAAATTGTTCGGGCCGATCCCATTAGCGGCCATATTGGAGGGTTTCACAGCTTTGGGCATGTGTGTATGCCGTGGTTTAGGTATACAGTCGCAGCAGTTTGCGATGAGGTTTAACGTGTCTATTTATAACGTGTTTGAATGAAACAGTGACCAATCATTTGCAAACCAATGCCGTTGATTTAACCAATTCACCCCGTAACTTTCAACCTCTGAAGCAGCATGTGCAGTCTAATTAGACTTCATGTAATACAAGGTCTGCTCCTTATGAATTATTCCTGTTCCCTATAATTATGTTTGTCTATACCCCTGAGACGATCGGATAGATGATCCACACGGAAGCACTCGACAACCCTCAAGATCGGAGAAAGACGGGAAGATAGCCCGAGGGCCTGTTTGGGGTGGACCAACATTGTCAGACGGTCGAGTGCTGGGAACTCTTAGTCTGATTAAAGGGGTATTGTAAAAAAAAGGGCCAAAACAACAACACCAACACACACAAAACCATACCAACTAGAACACATAACCATCTGGGGAATTCCGAAAGAAACCGACTTTAAATAAGCCAACGTGAAAAGTTAACAATAATGTATAGGCCTGCCAACTCTAACCGCGGACTTCGTGGTTGACTGACCGCGGACGTCGACACGTCGGGACGTTACCAATTAATTCATCAAAGCCAACCGATGTCGGGTTACCTGCAACTGATCTCGAGGGTTTGAAGGCATGTCATCTGACGCCTTCTACGTGGAATGCTCTTTTCGCAAACTTTATCAGGATGGTTGGTTTTCTCATCGTAATTTATATATGCCTCGGCCACCTTTTTTCCCTGAAATTTCACAGGACATGTTGATTGATCGGAGCATGATCGAAGCTCTACGAAATGACGTCACTTGGTTGCACTGACGCCACACGATCAAAACAACACTTGACATTTAATTTCATATCTAGAGAGCGAATTCCTGGCGCAATACAATTTTTTGTTCCAAAATTTGGATTTTGTTCCAACTGAATTTGCGATTTTTAATTGTAAGACCTCCAAAAAAACCCAACTGCGCATAAACGGTGGAAATTATAAAGGATTTTGGCGTCAAGGATGGCCTTATTAGCTTCCCAGTATGCATTACAGTTGATCAAATGGCCAAGATTTGTTGTCTTACTATTGCTTGAAAGGTTAAGGCAATAAAAACACCTTATTAGTCGCATTTGTCTTTCATTTTTCATGAATCAATTTCACAAAGTTAACGGAATTTACGATTACCAATGTTTTTCAGTTGCTTTACATGTAATACTGACCTTCCCTTGATTAAAAAAATTGAGTAATAATCTAATCGCTCATATATCAAAGCGATAAGGAGCATTCCAAAAAGATTCCAGAGCATTGAACCTTTTGAACGTGCGTCTTACGAGGGGCGAAGGGAATGGCCCTTACTTGGCATAGCTGCGTATAGATACGTTCATGCTCGCATCTGCACATACAAATGCGCAGTGAGTTCTTCTCTTATCTACCACAGAATGCTTGGTTGCCAGTAAAGTACATGTACATGTCATAATTTACGCCCACATTTCTGAAAGGCAAACTGTACTTCCAGTTTGATGGGCGATATTGATATCACTCTGATTATTGCTTTGATGCGTTGGCGTCGTATCACTGAAAGATCTGGACATGAAAGAGAACGCCGGATGCCGGATATGGCGAATTGTTTCCTCACTTTGAGATTGATGAGCTGATTCGAAAAGGGTTCATTCATCATCATTAAGGTGTTCAGTTACCGAGTTTATACTTTGAAAAAAAATGTGGGTGATTCAAAGTAACGTAAAGGCTGTAATAACAATAAAGTGGCATACTATTTGCCAAATAACCTAGAAATAGAGGGGTGATGTCTTTTAAGTTATACATTCCAATTTTCAATATATTCCAGATAAGGCTTTTCAAAAAAAGAAAAGAAAATTCAATGCAAATTTCACAACCTAAAATGGAAACTGAGAATCCGAATCCACCAATTACTTGTAGTTCCGTCTGAAATAGCAAGGACGAGCTACAAATCGGATTGCATCTTCATTATTTGATAAGATGGGCTCCTGGTATGAGTTAATGCGATCTTGACCGAGTTATACCCCCACGCCGAGGCAAAGATTACCCGGCACGTTGTAAGTGGATGTATTAACATCCTCTTCATCTCCGATGATAACACCTTTAAGAAGGCGGTGCAGAGCAATTGATAATACAACGACAACGTTCAGTATACCATCTGTTCAACGCTAAAAGACAGGGATCTAAAATGGTGGACTTAAGCCCAACTTGTAAAGCCCATAAAACTCTGTTTTTCTTGTCTCCCTGACACCATTAAGTACCATCACAATTTCTTCCAATCGACCTTGCTGGTTTAGGAATAACTATACACATATGTTGGTCCACGTCATTTAATAAACCCAGATAATACAAGCTGCTTTATATCTACGGCATCCTTTGCATCCTAATATCATCAAAGTACCACCACAATTTCCAATCGACCTTGCGAGTTTGGGAATAACTATAATACACAAATGCTGGTCTACATCGCTTCATAACTCATATTTCTTTTTTATCTACAGCAGCCCATGCAATTACACGATCAATCTTGCACATCCGAACTTGGTTTTACAAGAAACTTTAATAGGTTACTCACCATAAGACTAGCTATTCGGACGCGGGAAAGCTACCATGATTTTCCATCCAATCCTTACTTTCCCAACACGCCATCCAAAATGCTATTCGACACTGTGAATTAACTGCCGGCTCCTCGAAAATTGGTCATAAACACGCCTAATGTACTGGACACTATACAATTGGACATTGTAAACCAGATATATAGTGCTTTATAGTGCCAATCCATTTTGTTGCCTTAAATTATCCTGGTTGTGTCGACTACTCGCTACATATTTCATATGCTGGCAGAGATACGTTACAGATGAGCTCTTCAAATTGTACGAAACTCCTCGTCTGGGAGTTTTCGCAGCTGTATATACCAGCACTATAATAACTGGCAATATATTGGTTACGACAGCAGACCTAATTCGGTTTGGCAGTTTTCAATCACTAAATTGTTTTTAGCTCACCACTTATTGCCCTGTATAATCCCGAGTCACGTGACTCGGACCGATCGATTAAACGCCCCACAGATGTTTATTTAATTACTTTTGGAAGCCTTTCATCAATATCGACAATTATTGATTTTAATGAACTTCCAGTCAGAATTTTTTGTTTGGCATTTTATTGTTCTTTTCAACGCTAATGTTAAAATTAAAATTCCCAGTTTTATTCTTCGGTCGGTTAATGCTTCTGTATTTTAACTTTTCATCCAGTCATGATATATGTGTATAAAAAATATTAGTGGTATCTGAAAAGGAATTGTTCTGATATTGCAGAGATCGTGTACAAAAGTACTAACAGCGCCCTCTGTTGTCATGAATAGGGATCATCGACATTTCCTGCAAACGTCAAGTGTACATGATACCAAAACAAAATATACAATCCCTCCAAAACAGCACGTGTATGGATTTAGCCGCGGTATCATGTCTTTGAAAGAAATTCCTATCCAGCTGCCTCCACAAATCGTTTTATCCTTGCAGTGTGATTGCTTTCTGTTGCGTCGTTACCCGAGAGCGTAACACAACATGCCCGTTGACGTTGATGCCAAGAGGTATTATGCTTCCTAATGCCAGTTGAAAAAAAGTAGAAAAAAACTCAAGGACAATTGAGATGATGAGATTAGTTTACAGATGCCTTTCTTGTTTTTCAGGAGTTTTCTTCTTCTGGTGTTTGAACCTAAATCGGGCACATCGTGCATGTCGTTTTCGTTGACATATTCGCTCAATTATTATGCAACGCATTTCATACCGCTTTATGTGGTAATTGAATGCTTGTTCACATGAACAAAAACATTACGTCGAAGGCTTTTTTTAAAGCTTGTTGGATGGTCGACATCAGTGCTTTCTTTTCTGCGGTAAATGCTGCAGATGCTTTTTACTCTGTTGCCAAATCTCGATTACATGTCCGAATTATTCCCGTAAATGGTTGTGATGGACTCAACGAATATCCAGGAATTATTTAAAAAAAAAAAAAGGAAAAATGTTTCAGCTGGCAAGATGTGCTGAATACACTTTCGATATACCTTCTTTAGAGTTCAATAGCCTAGCTTTACAAGGGGAAAAAGACCCTCACGACAGCAAAACATTGTCTACTAACACTACAGAAATTAGGAGAATATCCCAGAAATCCCTACGCTCAATAGCCTTGCTTTAGAAGGAAAAAAAAAAGACATTCACGCCAGCAAACCATTGTAAACTAACATAACAGAAACTTAGGAGAACATCCCGGAAATTACTACGCTTAATAATAACGACCGTCTTACAAGAAGATTTCTATCAAAACACCAAACGAAAACGTGGCACAAACAGATTACAAAGGCTCCGAGAAGATGTGCCTTAAAAATAGCAGCGGGAATCGATATTGGTTCACTGCCGGTGTAAATTGAGCGTTCGTCCCGATGAAGCCCTGCGTGTGTATGAACCTAAGGCCACAAGAAGAGTAATGGATTACTATTACCATACACGGCGACGTACAAAGTGTTTCTGTACTTATCGTTATAACAAATTGAGTGTGTCGTTGGATGAAAGCCAATAAACGTAATACACAGTGAGGTTTTTTTTAACGTCTTGTCGTTTAACCTAAATTATGGAGGAGGTGGCGGACGCCAAATGTCTTGGCAAATCTCCTGCACGGTCAATTAATAAATTAGTCAAGCAATGAGGGAGACTAAAGGGGTGGGAAACTGAGCACAAAATTAAGAAAACCGAGATGGAAAATCGTGCCATCTGCACACTTATTGACTGAGGAAAAAATTAAATTGGTTTCTATAGCCTTGCTCTATGGTTTTTGGTATTTCAATTTCAGAAGTGTGGCTCTTCGCGCACGCGATTTGGGTTACACGAAGGACAGGGCGGTCAGCACAAATAGCTTAAGGCTACGTGAAAAGGGAATTACGCAATCAACAAAAATCACCAGGAGATGATTGAAGGCGAGGGAGTCAGGTTGCCGCAAGACACTACGTGACTGCAGAGCCGGCCGGCCGTCTATCTACCGAGTCACTCTTGGGAGGATCGGACCGGCTGCTACTGGAACGGTATTAACACTTGACACATTTCTGCTAGCTGATCACGACACAGCTGTGAAACGGCGGAAGTTATCAATTTGGAACAGAAACCCCCGGCACCTGTTTTCGTTGAACCATCGAGGAAAGCGTCGCGTGGCGGGCTCATCGGCGATGCGCATTTCTGGGAAATAACAAACTCCGGCACCATGGGATTATAGGGTTGCCTTGGCGTTAGTTTGTAGCCTCGGGTTAGTCATTTGCTCTGGTTTGATGCAGTTTTTAGATTAATCCGACAATCGTGGCGCCACGCTAACGTGCATGGAACACGCATTCTGAATCTGGTGCCGCCTCAATAACTGACTTTTAATTCTAGTCATCGGGTAAGTGTACAACCAACCCGGGCCCATTCAGATATTGCTAATTTTTTCCCTGCAGTATGCTCACTTACCAGAAAAACGGGATGAAAGACACTTCTGTGAACGGTTAGTAAAATGAGCAACGTGTTAGCCACTTAATCACCCAGAAAGAGGACATTAGCAAGCAGGAGAACCACTAAGCCATACTGCCCAATGGCCTTCCCCCATTTTTTTATACATAGTTGTAAGATAAAATAGCTCCACCCACAAAACAAGATGAACGCGTTCAGGAACCTACAGACAGCAGGTATGCTGGCGCCCTGCAATGCGCAATAAGCCCTTTGATTCACTGTGTGGCATCTACTGTTATTGGCCTTGGTGGTTCCAACTGACATCATCCTACAAATAACCGAGACAGTCATTTGCGAAAATCGGTGGTACATGCGTGATGGCTGTGGCGAAGGCGCGCATGCACACAAAGCTTCTTAGGTTGGTTTCCCGACACTTCAAGGGTAGAGTATATCATTTTGTCATTGGTGCATTTTTGTTTGTTTGAAGCAACAAAAGCGCTCAAAATCCAAAGAAGTGTGTTTAACAACTAAAACGATGAAGCGTTTGTTCTGTAGAATGCAGTACATTTCGAGAAAGCACAATATTCTAAAATTCGATTTCAATTTAAAATCTGCCGATCTGCCGCCTTACAAATACCACCATATTGATAAAAAGAAAAGAAAAGGGCAAATGGATACTCGAATCATACGCTTACGAAACTAATGACCGGAAGAACTCTTGGTGGCGCACTGCAATGTGAATCGCCCGAATTGGTCGTATTCCAGGCCGAAATATCCCTTTAACAATCAGCACTAAGTACGCGCACTCCATATCTATCACAATGTACAGCAGTTACGGATTTTAAGGCTGCGTTTGAGTGTGATGCTCTTGATGCAGTGAGTGGAGGAAGATTTTGAGTGTACGCACAACTCTCGAGTCAGACAGCTCCAAGTATCAACTTAAGGGTTGAGAAAGCGCAGAAAGGCTGCCGAATTTAGCAGTTGAATATTCTTAATTCAAGATGGTCTTGAGATTTACCTCAGTTTTCTCTAAAGATTCGTAAATGTATTTGAAGAGTTCCCTATAAACTATCACATATTTTGTGACAAGTGTAAACGCACTGTTTCTGTTGAAGTAAGAAAGAAAAAACGGTATTGATAGAACATTGCAAGGTACACTTGTGACGAGATGAGTATACGCACTCGAACGTAGACAAAATAACGACGTGACGACATGGGGAATTATATCAGTTTGGTGCAGTGTACTATTTTGACAAATTATACGCCGTGTGACAAAACATTCTTTTCTCCATTAATAACACACTTTAATGACCTACGGAGCTGATTTTTTCCCCCAAGAGATGAGTGAGTTTTATTATTAGTTCCGCGTCTGCGTATCACTTTAAGCGACAATTTGTGCCTGAAACAGAGGTCACTGTTCTAGTGTCCCATTCAGAAATGGTTTCCTTTGACAAAAAAGTCCATTATAAGACAGAATTCAATCAGACATAATCGCAGCCTTTTAGTTTCCATGGCTACCGACGTTCACACTTCAACAAATTTACAGGAGTTAGCTATTTTAATCCCTCCATTCATTCATTCATAGATTTTTGTTATGGAGTGTGTTTCCGAGCACTCCAGTGTTCTTCATTCGGAAGAATAAACTTCCATAATGGTGCACTTTAACATTCGACGTCTTTAACATCTGATTAGCTGCAAACGTTTTTCTGCCTGCGGACACAATCTGCAAATTCGCAATGGAGAGACTCTTCGCTGTTTTTGTATTCTTTCAGCCAATTTTAGACCAGACACACCATACAACGTTAGAGAGACCGGACCAGGCCAGACCAGACCAGAGTTGCTAAACCAGAGTTGACCAGACCAGAGATGACCAGAGTTGACCGGAGTTGACCAGAGTTGACCAGAGTTGACCAGAGTTGACCGGAGTTGACCGGAGTTGACCGGAGTTGACCGGAGTTGACCGGAGTTGACCAGAGTTGACCAGAGTTGACCAGACCAGAGTTGACCAGAGTTGACCAGATTTGACCAGAGTTGATCGGAGTTGTCTAGAGTTGACCGGAGTTGACCAGAGTTGACCGGAGTTGACCGGAGTTGACCAGAGTTGACCAGAGTTGATCAGAGTTGACCAGACCAGACCAGACCAGACCAGACCAGAAAATGCTATATAGATCATTCCATCAAGGCCAAGCCAGACTAGACCATGCACCAAACACAATTCAACAAGTCACAACAGACATGCAAGCACGTAAGCACGTCCCAAAGTCATTTTACTTCTGAACTTACAGCCGCGCATGTATACATGAAAAAAATACAAGAAGACACTCCATTCAGGCCGACAATTGGCTCATTTCCCCACCCGTGTGCCACAGCATCAGGAGACTGTCATTGTAGAGGGCTGGGGCGGCTGACTCGGGTCTGTGATCCAC